TTAATAGATAGAAGTTGCAAAGAAGGGGGGGGGGGGGGGGGGGGGGGATCTGCAAAACGAGCACCAGCCCATTCAAATCCGCTCGAGCACGAGCCTGAGATGGTGAAAGGCCGCGCCATGCGACCCAACATGCACGGCATGAGACACCTCCCATGACCCAATCCAGACATTCCCGCGTCCCCCCTCCCAGCCGGGCAGGCATGCCACCCCCCCTGTCATAGACCCGCCCCCTCCACCCCATCACCATGCCCTGAACACTCCCTCCCGCTCTCCCCCCCGCACATGCACACCTGCACAGCGCCTCGGCGCTGGTGGCCATCTTCTTCTTGGCCACCAGGAAGCCCTTGTTCTCGCCCTGGAACCCTTGCCAGGGCAGGCGGCCGTTGAGCAGGAAGAGCAGGGTGTAGGCCAGGGACTCGAGGTCGTCGCGCCGGCTGGGCGTGCGGCCCAGGTGCGCGTGCACGCTGGCGTACCGGATGGTGCCGCGGAAGTCGTCGGGGCGCTGGTCGTACTTGACGTGGGTGCGCGTCTTGGGGTCGCGCCAGCGCTGCGCCAGCCCAAAGTCCACTAGGTACAGCCGGTTGGACTCGGGTGTGCCGGGCGGGCCCATCAGGAAGTTCTCTGGCTTCACGTCGCCGTGCACAAAGCTGCATGGGCGTGATGGTGGGGTGGGGCTGGTGAGCGGCTGGAAGTGCAGCATACAGAGACTCCAGGGAGCCCGGGAGCGCGGCGCGCTTTGGACCTGGCAGCATGTCACGATGCTGAGGCGACTGGCAGGGCACACCTCAAGGCATGGGTGCCAGGCCTACAAGGTGCCTGTGAGCCCGCTCTGGTTCTGGCTTCCAGTCTCAAGCCTGCAGGCCAAGTCTCATCGGTCCAGAGCACCTCAAAACCCCACCTAGGCCCCTCCGCACTCTTCGTACCCTTTCTGGTGGAGGGCCTCCAGGATGGTGATGGCCTCCACAGCCACGCAGGCCACAAACTGGGCGCTGAGCTGCTGCCCCTCCTGGTTCCAAACGTCCCACAGGCTAGAGCCCAGCAGGTCCATGATCTGAGTGAGGAGGGGGAGAGATTCAAGAAAGGTGTCGGCATGCGGCTAGCGCAAGGTCTGATGGGATCAGGAGCCAGCTGCCGAGCCACACCCTGGAATGGCTCAGGCAGAGGCTCGCAAGCAGGCCTGGGAATGGCATCCCCCTGTAAGCAAAGCTTCCCTACAGAGAAACCTCCCACAAGACTTGAGCAAAGGGCACATCAATGTCACAGTCTTTGCCCGCAAAAGTCGATCCCAACTGACCATGATGTAGAAGTTGTTCTGCAGACCCTTGAAGTGGATGTGCGGCACTCCATATGTGGGGCCAATGGCGCTGTGGAAGATTGGGAGGGATTGGAGGAGTGATGAGTGCACGAGGGCGGAATGCATTACCTGTGCGAGAGCAGGGGGTTGGTGAAGCCATCACCAGACGACAGGCCCCTGCTGGTGTAAGCTCCCATTCATAGCACATATACATTCCCACCCAGAAAAATAAGGATGCTGGCCCTCACTTGTAGACACCCCATTCAAAGGGGGCACCATTGGGGGCGCATCCTTTGCTGGTCTTATGCTCGAACTTCAAGGCCACCTGCGCATGGAAGAGGGGGACACATACGGGTAAGCAACCTCCAGTAAGCCGCACTGCATACTACATCAGTGTATAATGCCAGAGCCTCTCCTTCCAACAGATCAAGGACTGCCCTGCCAATTGCCCCCACCCCTCCCCACAGAGCTTGCCTCCAAGGGTCGGGTCTCCTTGGCTGTCCGGGCCTTGTTCGCTCGATTCCCCAGGAATACCTGCCCGAATCCGCCCTTGCCCAGACGTCGTCCCGTAACATACACCGGCGAGTTGGAGACTTGCACCTGGGTTGGGGCCATGCGGGGGATTAGTGCATGAGTACCGGCACAGGTGGGTAACAAACCTAGCCCAACCCAGCAGGGGGGATCAGGACGTTTAGCTGGCCCCAGAAACTCGTCTGACTGCGCATTCAGACACCTCAGGATACCCTGCACGTACCCTGGTCGGGCATGCGAGCTCCTCCTTCTCCTCCCCTTCGCCTGCAGCGGGCGGCATCAGGCCGGCTGCCCGAGCACAGGCTACGCGCTATGCGAGCGCAAGCAATCTGTACCTGTTTCGGGGAGGGTGATTGATGGTTTTGCAACCCCGAAAAGTTAATGTGCCCTGCCTAATGACGGGCATCTACCATCGGGCAGCGGGACGAGCTGTGGATTCGTCGGCCTTACGGGGGCCTTTCCCCCGAACACCCTCAACATCCGCCACTGCTAGGCCTCACCAAATAACAAGATAATCAAGTCGGGCGAGATTCAGCTGTCGTCCATGCCGGCTGGGGAGCTCCAGGTGGTCCAGAAGCAGGGGCCACGGCGAGCCAGGGCCCGGGTTCAAACTTTGGTCACGCCCCTATGGCCAGCACCATGAAGCCTGTTCGAGGCAAATTAGGAGGATTGTACGACTGGGTTATGAGTGTGTGTGAGTCTGTGGGCTCCCTTGTTGGCGTGCCAGTCGGCCACGGGCCAGGGGTCGCTCTGAGGAGGACTAAATTCCAAATTTCCAGGGGTCGTACCTCTTTGCATCCACTGCTGAAGCGGGAACCAACGTTACAAGCAGGCATGAAATTGGGTGAAATGGCTGATGTACAAGTCAGTTATTCGTTAGGGGAGGATTGGAGTGTCAAGTACTACTGAGGAAGGGCCGTCCTGAGAGGCAGGGCGACTGCCCATTCCATTGCCGCAGCGAAAATTTTGCAGACCGCTTGATGAAGTCGCAGTCCAGGGTTTGGGCTCATCACGCCCGTCTTCGTACATGTCATTAAATCTATACCTAAGGCTGCTGCTCTGCTGAGGGTATCAGGTGGCTGCTGCGGTCAGCTCCACGCCCAATGTGGGATCCTGTGGAGCCGGCGAGGCGTCTGAAGCCGGTGTGCTGGAGTGCGCCTTGAGCTGCGCCCGCACCCGGCTGATCGTGGTCAGGTTGGCGGAGAAGGAGGCCAGGCCTACGCCGTCTCGGACCAGCTGGAACCAGGGTAGGCGGTTCACGCCCAGAGCCTCGCATGTGTCGTTCATCTCCTCGCTGTCCACATTCACCTGTGTGTGGGAGGGGATGGTACGGCTGTTGTCAGGACTGATGACATTGAAGTGTACCATACACAGCAGTTATCTGATGGGTAATTGCATGACCAGGGCGCCATTTGCAACTTGCAACCTCCCGCCCAACGCCAGATTGCCAAATTCAAACGCAGGCCGCACCTTGATGAACAGGACGCCGGGGTTGCAGGTCACCATCTGCTGGAATTTGGGGTACAGTCTTCGACACCCGTTGCAGTGGGGGGCAAAGTAGTTGATGAGCACCAGCTGGCCTGAGGCGGCCGAGGAGAGGGCAGCCTTGTACTGCGCTGAGGTCAAGACGGTGATGAGGTTGGGGTGGTTGCCTTCTTGCCACCACCTGCTGTCAGCATCCAGCGCCGCGCGGGCCTGAGACTCCAGTTCCCGACGTCTGCGGAGTGTGGGGACGACCCATGAGCCGCGAGGTAGGGCATTGCGAGCACGACCCCCTCAGGCATGTTCGAAGCGGTACAGGGTGTCGGTCACGGAATCGCACCTCGCGCTGATGACGGTGAGCTGCTCGGCAGGTGCCGGAGCTTGGGTGGGGACGACATTGTTCTGAATCGACGGGTCCGATGTGGAGCATGGCCCCGCTGCGGCACTGGAGGCCCCGACTGACGGGACTGTCCGACGGGGCTTGTTGGTGGGACGGGGGCAGGTCGCACCCAGCGCGAGGCCAGGGAGTGCAGTCGACATGCCCAGGTTTCGCGGAGGTTGCGTCCAAGGGCGGGATCTGCGGGAAGCTGGTCGGACCCTCGAGGGTGGTACCGACGGGGGGGTCAGTATGGGAGTTGTGAGAACGAACACGCAGATAACCTGCGTGATACAGCCCGGAGAGTGCTTAAGGTCAACAAAACGATGAGATTGTTGGGGACGCAGCTCAGCCGTGAACTTAGATTCTGTTGGATGCCGCACAGAAGTCGGGCCACCAATGCGGATACGGAGATGGGGTCCAGCAAGCGTGTTTGCCACGTCAGTTACGCTCTAGAAGTCCCAGATCGCGCGGGATATGAATTAGTAAGAACCCGACGACAGATCGCCGACCCCCCTCCCCCAAACTGTTTGTTCACATCTAAAAATCTTAAATCAGTTGTAAACAATGCGCACTGTGCCCCCGCTACTCGAACCCTCGGAGGGCCCTTTCACCACGGCCGACATAGTGACCGCCAAGGCCACAGTCCACTGTACCTACTACAATGAGCCCTTGACGCAGGCAACCATACCTACGGAGCCCGTGTAAGACTTCCTGCACGGCGAGGGCCGCATGTTCCAAACGTCCTTCCATCGGAAGGCCCACCCCGCAACCCAGGTACAATTCGAATCACCTCCAACGGAAGGCCCGTGTGATGAGCATGCAGCCCGTCCCTTTCCCGCTGCACTCACTCCTGGCGCTTCATATCACACACATGACTGGTTGTCAGTCGAGTACCACAGGTGCAACCGTGGTCCGGGCACACCTGAGTGGGTAGAGAATGACAGAGCCAGCCAGCGGGAGGGGCGGACGAACCTGTCGCGCCGCCGCTCTATGAAGACCGACTGCCAGCATACATTTACGATCAAGCAGCTGAGGCAAGACTCCAAGAAGAGCATTGTCTTCTACCCTGACATCGGGCATTTGGGCCACAGCTAGAACACTACCCAGTGTTTGCGTCTGTCCCAGTGGGCTGTTGACCTCGTGGAGTCGCTGCTGGACATCAACCCGGTCTTTTGCAACCCCAGCATCGTTGCCTGTGCATACAGCGTCATTCTCTGGGGCCTGTGTCACTACACCCCTGTCGCTCCAAATGTACCAACCTCCTCGCGCAAGCCCCTCTTCCTGCAGGTGCCCGACCCATAAGACAGCGAGCACAGAGGTGCTCCTGTCGCGGGTCGCATGGATCGTCCCCACCTTGCGACGGGGCCTGGCCTGGCACAGGGACGGGAAGCCGTTTCGAAAGCTGCGCCACCAGGCCTACGTCGCCAGGGAGCGGGCCATCAACCGGCTGGCGGAGCAGTTCCGCCCCCCCCGGGCATGACTACGGTCGTGGGCATGGGCAACTGGTCGGCCCAGGACCGGGGGGGCATCATGTGGGGGGCTCCGCCGGGGGCCTGGATACGCTTCTTGCGGAGGGTGTGCAGGGTGGTGGTGATCGACGAGCACAGGACTTCCAAACTGTGCTGCGCCTGTCACACCACCCTGCTCGCCCACCAGTACATGCGGGTCTGCAACGGCGTGGAAACGTGGACGGAACTGTGGGACACGAAGCGGTGCACCAACAGGGCCTGCAAGGTCAACGTCGTCAACCGCGACGTGAATGGAGCGGTGAACATCCTGATGCTGACCAAGTGCTTTTTTGAGAGTGCACCTCGTCCCACAGCTTTTGGTGGTCCCCCTGCTTCCCCTTCCTTTCCCCCACCCCCCACCCCCCCGGTTCGCCATTAGAGGCAACCAACTGCGCCAGCGATATCCCGTCCTCGGGAATAAGCTGCTAGCAACCGGCGCAAGCCCGGTAGAGGGGGGAAGGGTATTCCGTGCTTTCCCGGGTGCCCCTCGCGCCCAAGTCACTCCCCCTCCGCTGTACAATTACGATCAAACATTGCATGCATTGTGGGTTGTCAAGGAATCATGCTGGAGGCCATCAGGTGATCCGCGCCGGTTGCCGGTAGTGTTGGGTCCATGAACGACGGTAAACCAAGGCGCACACGGTGCCCCATCGCCCGTCTGATCTCCTTCACACCCCCCAGGTACTCCCGTGGTAGCCTCGAGCTCCTTGAGCAGCGTGATCTGCCCACCACCACGCGCTACGTCTCTGTGCGGGGTTCAGAGGACGCATGGCGGGCCATACGGGACATGACCGTGCGGGGCGCGCCAGCCATCGCCATTGCCGCCGTGCTCAGCCTTGCGGTTGAGCTGGTGGTCCAGGGGGAGGGATCCCAGTTTTCAGACGCGGCCCAGGCCTCCCAGTACATCCAGGATCGCCTGGAGTACCTGGTGTCTAGGTGGGTTGTGGTGGGTGTGAGTGGCAACCACGGTGGAGGGGGAGTAACAGCCATGGTGGGTGGAGGGGGAGTGGCATTGGCTGCTGTCGTCAAACGTGGTTGGCGATATTCCCGAGATTGGTATGCACATCCAACAATAAGGTCCGTTTATAAAATCTCCCCCCCACACTCACACATTTCAATGTTCCCTCCGCGCCTCAGCCGCCCCACGGCGGTGAATCTGGCGGAGGCCGCCGCTCGGCTGGGCGCCGCCGCCGCGGAGGCCGCCGCGGCCCCCGCCGCCACCCCCTCCTCGGTGGTGGAGACGGCGGTGGCGGGGGCGGAGGCCATGCTGCGCGACGACGTGGCCGCCAACCGCGAGCTGGGCGCGCTGGGCGCCGACGCTGTGGCGTGCGCGGCGGGGGTAACCGCGCCGCTGCGCCTGCTCACCCACTGCAACACGGGCAGCCTGGCGACGGCGGGGTACGGCACCGCGCTGGGCGTGGCGCGCGCGCTGTGGGGCTCAGGCCGTCTGGCGCGCGTCACCTGCACCGAGACGCGGCCCTACAACCAGGGCGCGCGGCTGACGGCCTACGAGCTGGCGGCCGACGGCGTGCCGGCCACGCTGATCGTGGACGGCGCGGCCGCCGCGCGCATGGCCGCGGGCGAGGTGGACGCCGTGGTGGTGGGCGCGGATCGCGTGGCCGCCAACGGCGACACGGCCAACAAGATCGGGACCTACGCGCTGGCGGTGGCCGCCGCACACCACGGCCTGCCTTTCTTCGTGGCTGCGCCCACCACCACGCTGGACCCCGCCACGCGCGCCGGCGCCGACATCGCCATCGAGCAGCGCGACCCGCAGGAGGTGGGCGGGCGGGGGGGGGGTTAGAATGGTGATGACGAGAGCTGCTGAAGGAAGGACGAGGCTCCGGGGGGCCATGTGTATGACAGCCAGGCTTTGCCACCCACGACTCCAATGAGCAAGGAAGCAGCACCCGCCCGAAGACCCCTCCTCATCCCTCCTCCCTCCACATGCCTGTAGATCACCCACTTCCGGGGGGTCAGGGTGGCGGCGGAGGTCCCCGTCTGGAATCCCTCCTTCGATGTGACCCCCGCCGCGCTCATCACCGGCATTATCACGGAGGCCGGGCTCATCTCTCCGTCGCGCCCGGGGGGTGAGTACGATGTGCCCGCTTTCCTGGCCGCGCGGAGAGACAAGGCCGGGGTCGAGCAAGCAGCTGCCGCTGAGAATGGGCACGGCAGGCAAGCGCAATCCGCCAGGGATCCTGAGAAGGGTGTGGTGGCAGCCGCTGAGCAGCCTGCAAAGGGCACACAGGCACGAGGCGTAGACTCAGACGACAGCAGGCCAACAGGCGCCGCGGCACCGCAAGGAAGCAGCCCGGCGCAGCCCCTGGGAAGGCAGGGCGTGCGCGAGTTTGTGAGTCAGCGCCCCGAGCTGGCCGTCCACGTGGGGGAGCCCTCCACCGCCTCAGAGTGGGACGTCAGGTGCGAGGGGTTGGTGGGCGCGTGAGCTCCTGGCTTCCCGAGCGGTGTGAGGGGGGCTTGGTGGCCTGGGGAGGGGTGGCAGCGCGGTGGTGTGCAGACGGAGGATGGCGTGACGCTCAGGCTGCGGCGTCACAGTGGCCATCCCGGCAGACAGCTGGATGGACCGTCCACAAACATTCATCTTCCTGCTGCGTCGTCATCCAGACCGGCCGTGCTCTGCTCCGCTTTCTCTATACACCCCTACTCCCCCTTCCCTCCCTCTCCCCCTCCCAACCCCCACCCCCTTCCACCATTTCCAGGGAGGTTGGGGACGGCAACATCAACTTCGTGTACATTGTCACCGGGCCCGCAGGCGCGCTGTGCCTGAAGCAGTCGCTGCCCTACGTGCGCATGGTGGGGGCGGGCTGGCCCTTGACCCAGGCGCGGCTGGCGGTGGAGGTGGAGGCCCTGCGCACCCAGGCCCGGCTCTGCCCGCGCCACGTCCCCGCCGTCTACACCTTCGACCGCGCCCTGGCGGTGGTGGGCATGCAGTGCGTGCCGCCGCCTCACACCATCCTGCGTGGCGCGCTGGTCAGGGGGGAGGTCTTTCCCCGGCTCAGCGAGCACGTCGCCCATTTCCTCGCAGCCACGCTGTTCAACACCTCCTTCCTGGCGCTCAGCCCCCAGGCCTTCCAGTGAGTTATCTGTTTGTGGGTGGGAGGGGAGAAAGAAGGGCCCCACCCAAAATAGTGCCCCACCGGCATGCGGGGGCAGGGCGGCTGCCTCAAGGCCAGGATCGGTGCATGCGCGTCTGCTGCCTGGGCGCAAGCACCTCCGGACCCCCCCGCTCAGCGCCTAAACCACCCCCTGCACCCCCTCTACCCCTCGCCGTGCAGGGAGCAGACAGAGCGCTTTGCCAACCGCGGGATGTGCGAGCTGACGGAGCAGGTGATCTTCTCCGACCCCTACCACGGCGCGCCGCACAACCGCGCCGCCAGCCCCCACCTCGCGACGCTCGTCGGCGAGCTGCGGCGGCCGCGGGCGCGGCTGGCCGCCACGCGGCTCAAGCAGACCTTCATGCACCAACCCCAGGCCCTGCTGCACGGCGACTTCCACACCGGCTCCCTCATGGTCGCCCAGGACAGCACCTACGTGATTGACGCCGAGTTTGCCTTCTGCGGGCCCATCGCCTTTGAGCTGGGCAAGTGGGTGGCAAACCTGCTCCTAGCCTTCTTCGGCGCGACGGGGCACGGACACGGTGCGAGTTTATTTCATTTTTTGGGGGGGGGGGAGGGACTGATGGCACGGGCATCTCCCCTTGCATGGGAATGCTAGGAGGAGGGAGTGATGGTTTCATGCCACATGAGCTATTGGGATGGTCGCCCACCTTCCCGCGAAGGGACCCTATTGCGTCATGATCGCTGGGCCTTGCTCCGAGCCGCCCCCCATGATGCACAAGCTCATGCGATCTACATTAATCCTGGCTTTCCGACCCACCCTCCTGTTCTCCGCATCCAGACACAGCAAAGGCGCGCAGGCAAGAGGAGTGGCTGCTGCAGACGGCTCGCGAGAGCATCGACGGCTTCCTCGCGGGGTTCCAGACTCTCTGGCTCCAGCATGGCGCCAGCGAGGATGGCGGCGTCGCCTCCGCCAGCCTCTTCGAGGGCCCCGACGAGCTCGTCCCCGTGATCGAGGCATTCCTCCAGGACGTGACGCGCGACGCGGCGCACTTCGCCGGGGCGGTCATGATCAGGCGCATCGTGGGCATCGCCCGTGTGGCGGACCTGGAGACCATCCAAGATCCCCAGCTCAAGTGCGTGGAGGGCGGGAGGAGGGTCTGGGCGCGTGATGCCTGCTGAGCTGCCTGCATGTGTCAATCACAAAGTCCGCTGCTTGCTGGACAGCTTGCTCTTTTATGAAAAAGCTCCACACCCTCACCGGCTGTTTCATGCAGGGAGAGGCTGGAGGAGCGGGCCCTGAGTTTTGCCCTGCCGCTGTTATATGGCACGATCTCCTTAAAGGCAGCTTTGGAGGGGCTGCAAGAGGAACTGCGCTCGGCTTGAATAAAGTCAAATGAACTTGCAAGCGGGTTGCAACAGCAGCTTTTGCTGGAGTGTAACAGGCTGAGGTCAGAAGGTGTACACAGAGCAATGTCATCACCTAGCCTCCCTGCTTTCCAAAATCCCTATCTTGGGGCATCGCAGTGGCTGCCCTGGGCACTTTTAAAGGTGCCCTGCTCATCTCTTTGCGGTTCCTGTGACATTGCCCCCTGAGATTCTGCAGCAGGAGCCCAGCCTGATCTAACACCCTTGGAGTTTACTATTGACAGATTATGTTGTATGTTCACAGGGCATGGGTATTGTCCTTCGTTCAGGGCATGTGTATCCATTGTAAGAGGACTGGACACTCGAGGGTCCCTCTGTCTCAGTTGGGAATCTGCGGATCACCTCCACGTCAATAGTAATTTGTAGCACTGCAGCGGATCGGACTCTCGGCATGCAACCCATGATTCCATTTGTTGTCTTGTAGACGAACAATCGCAAGGCTTGGTATCCCGTGTGCATCCTTTAGATCTCGCAATCTGAGCAAGCGCGGTAGAGGGTCCCGACACCGACGACTTCCCTGCGCACAGCTACAGCCTGTGTCGGCACGATCCGGGCCTGATCTCGCAGACGCCATGAGTGGAACCCGCCCTAGACCCAAGCATTGGACAGCTGGGACTTCAGGCCCCGTGCCGTACGTCCATCAGCCCCTGCCATTGGCGTTCGTCAATGGGTCGGTGGTGGGTGAGGCCGGCCCCATCCTGCAGGGCCTCCCGTCCACCGCACGCGGGTCCGAGCTGGAGGGGGGCGTGCTCCTCTCCCTGGCCAGCCCTGACGGACCAGTGTCAAGCACATCCTTCCGTCTGGGAAAGGTGGGCAGAGGGGTGAGGTTGTGCAGCTGCTGTGCTGGCCGGTGCTCGCGCCACTGCTGACCCACCGACAAACCAAGGGCCACCTCACCCCCTCCCTGCAGCTCCCCGCCCCCTCCCGCTTCCTCGCCCTGGGCCTCACCAGCGTGTGGTGGATGACGCCCGCATGGGGCTCCTGTGCCTCCTGGGTCCCCCTGGAAACCCAGTTCCTGCTCCTGGAACTCCCAGAGGGTGCCGGCTGTGCGGTCCTGCTCCCCCTCCTCAGCAACCACGGCACCTTCCGAGCGTCCCTGGCCGGCTCGGGCCCGGGGTCAGAGGACCCTGCCCTCCACCTCCACGTCGACAGTGGCGACGCCGGGGTCATGACGCAGACTTGGACGGACGTTTTTTACATCGCGGCTGGAAAGGAGGTGTACCCCCTGGTGGATGCAGCGGTGGCGACGGCCGGGCGACTGAGCGGCGGGGCACGGCCGCGGACATCCAAAGCCGTCCCTGACTTCGTGGACACCTTTGGATGGTGCACCTGGGACGCCTTCTACTACGACGTAACACCGGCAGGTGTGAGGATTGCACCCGATTGCTGCATTGTATGCGTCAGGCATGCAGGGAGGGCCCCGGGGACTGTGACTTCACCGCCTCTGCCTCACTAGACTGCATGCTCAGGCCCCAACACCCGCGCCGTAGGCATTCTGGATGGCGTCCAGGCGCTGCAAGTGGGCGGCATCAACCCTGGATTCGTGATCATTGACGATGGTGGGTCTGGGGCAAGGGCTGGTGAGCATCCTGGTTTGAGCTGCGTGGGCAAGTCCCACTGAAAGCTTTGAACGAGTGACTGGCAAACGGTCCGCGCATTATTTACCAATAGCTCTCGTCCCTTCATACAGGGTGGCAACACACGGATGTGGATGTTCCTTACCGCGGCCAAGGTACGCTGGTCTGTCGGGGGTGGCTGGAGGGACTTGCTGAACCCACAGGTATCGGAGTGGGACCTGGCGACTTTCCAGCAGGCACAGGGTGCAAGATTGCGGGGTCTGCCCTGAAAGATCCGTCCAACTCCGTCCCCAGATGACAATCAACATTCCCTGCTCCACGTCACATGAGCGCAGGCATCCAAGAGCACCATCCCGGCCTGGACCCCAGCGAGCTCAGCGTGGCCGAGTTCCTTGATGCCCCAGAGCACAGGGTGGGTTGTGATCCTACAGGACTGAGGGTTGGGGTTCTGGCTGGACGATGATAGATGGTCTATGCACAGGTTGCCCAACCTCTTTGCTGAACAGAGGGCAACTTGTCTATACTGCTGCGGACCCTCTCCACACTCATTCCTACCATTGAAGTGCACTGTTGAGTGTGCAGAATATTCTCCTTGCCTCTGCAGATGGATGAGCCGATGAGGGAGCTCCAGCATCGTGCAGAAGAGACCAGGTACTGTAGGCTAACCATGGCTGAGTGGGGTTTGCAGTTGGCTGCTGTGGGCACACACCAATGCCAAAGAGTAAGCGCACGTGGCCTGAGTGTGACACTGGTGTGCGCGGAAGAATGGATCACTGTGGAAGCGCGTGCCCCCTCTCACCCTTCCCTGGCCCTGCTACAGCATGCAAGCCAGCACTTCTGGCCGAGGCGGCCTGCTTTCCGTCCACCGAGTAGTGAGGAAGATCCAGGGGGCGGCGAGTGCCGTCCCCGGCGCACTGTTCAGGGGCCTGAAGAAAGCAGTGGACGCCTCCAGTGCCGATTCATGGTTCGTAAGAGCCGTCATTTGGCTGGTCAGGGGCCCACTCCGGCCGGCGCTGCTGGCATTCTACGCAAAGGTGGGTGCTTTGCGGTGCCCTGGCAGAGTGCTTAGTTGCTGTGCCAGACGCCCCGGCAGTCCTTGCTCCATGGATGCCTGTTGAATGGTGGGGGCAAGAGCCTGAGCTCGTCTATCCCCTGCCACCCCTTACGCAGGCCACCAACCACGGACAGCGGCTGCTGACTGTGAAGGCCAACTCGAAGTTCCGGGGCCTGGGCAAGCCACGCTCCCTGGCCCTGAACGTGAGGCAATGGAATCACTGTTGGTGCTGGGTCAGGAATGTAGGGGGCACCTCCATGCCCTTCCCTGCCGGCCTGCGGACCGTCGCTGTGCTTATTACTCCCCCCCCAACCACCCTTCCCCATCAACCTGCAGGAGGCCGGGGGCAAGTTGGGCCCCGTCGTCGACAAGATCAAGGACATGGGGGTGCGCCACGTCATCGCCTGGCACGCGCTGTGTGGCTTCTGGGGCGGCCTCTCTGACGAGCTGGGCGAGCAGTATGAGGCGGAGCTCATCATGCCCGACCCCCCCGCGAATCTTCTGGTGCGGCCACATGGTGGTTGGGTGCAGTGGGGGCAGGGTTTCTTAAGGTATCTGTCAGAGATTTGTGAATCCAGGTCATCAACTCCGTTTCGACTTGTGTTCATTGTTCCCTCCCGACCCTCTCACGTCACAAGTTGGGGTGATGGAGTCTCCAGCATCCTACCCCCTCACCCAACAACCCAGGCGCTGAACCCGGAGACCGCCTGGATCCCGCCCTCGGTGGCCGGGGTCCGCATCCCGCGCGACCCCACCGCCTTGCACACAGACATGCACGCCTACCTGGCTGGCTGCGGCGTGGATGGCGTCAAGGTGGACGTCCAGGTAGGAAGGGGTGTGTTGCAAGGGCCAGCAGTGGGCCATCAGCAAGGAGGGGTGTGCCTTCTGTAGAGAAACTCTCTTCTGCCTGAAATGTGGGTGTCTTGTATCAGACAGGCTGAGCGCCAGGCCCATCGCACCTCCTGGCAGAGCACGCTGGGCCTGCTGGGCGGCGCCACGCTGGCCGGAGCCTACAACGACTCTCTGGAGGCCTCCGTGGCCCGCCACTTCCCCGGCAACCAGCTCATCAACTGCATGTGCCACTCCACGGTCAATCTGTACAGGTGAACCCAGGGGTGCGGCGAGGAGAGCGAGGCCTTTGAGGGCTGAGCATCCCATGGCGCCATGCTCCTGCCCCAGCAGGCACCGACCCCGTCTGCAACTCCCGCGCCCCATCCCTCGCGCCCACATCGACGAGCACACCCCCAACCCCATCCTGCGCCCTTCAGGTTCAGCCAAAGCAACCTCGCCCGGGCGAGCGACGACTTCTGGCCCCTCATCCCCGCCTCCCACACAGCACACATCGCAAACTGCGCCTACAACTCCGCGTTCATGGGCGCCCTGGTCGTCCCCGACTTTGACATGTTCCACTCGCGACACCCTGCCGCCCTCATGCACGCCACCGCACGCGTGGTCTCAGGTCGGTGTGATTGCGTGCGTGCAGGAGGGGAGGCCGGGGTCCGTGGGCCAGCCTGGGCTCCTGAGGTGGGAGTGGCATGGGCGCTGCCTCGTCCGTGCCCTCTGCTGCGGAGCCAGCATGGCCCTCCCACCACACAGGCGGGCCGGTGTACGTCTCCGACCGCCCCGGCGCCCACGACTTTGACCTCCTGCGGCGCATCGTCCTGCGGGACGGCAGCACGCTGCGCACGCTGAGCCCCGGCCGGCCCACCCCCGACTCGCTCTTCGCAGACGTGTGCCGGGACGGCAAGTCGCTGCTCAAGGTCGGTGGTGTGGGTGTTTCCTTCGAGGGTTGGGGCATTGCACAAGCTGGTTTGACTCTGTGAAGCAAGTCGGGATGGTGTTGATCATGAGGCTGAGAAGTCTGGCAGCATCGGCGAGCAAGTCAACACCTGTCAGGGCGCGAGCGTCGCCCACCCTCCCTGCTCAACACCAAAATCGTCACTCCCCTCCCCACCGCCACCCCCTCCCCGCAGGTGCAAAGCTGGAATGCGACGGGCGCGGTGGTGGCCGCCTTCAACCTGCAGGGCGCGGCGTACGACCGCAGCCGCCGCGCTTTCCACGTGCACGACGCCAGCCCGCCCAGGCTGACGGCTGGGGTCGGGGTGCATGACGTGCCAGGTCTTGCGGCCCGCTGCTCAGGCCTGCCGGTGATTGCCTACTGCGATGCCGACGAGGTGAGCGTCTTTGTCAGTGGGTTGGGGCCTCATGGATCGTGTCTCAGACTCCAGGTGGCGAGGGGTCTGGGGAAGGAGGTTGTGCGTGGGGTTCATACAGCGAGACATCTCGGTGAGCGCCACACGCTGGGTTGCATGCATGGAGAGACTGAGGACGGCAGACTGCCATCTGGGCTCTGGTCTTGGTGCCTACGGAATGGTTGCATGGTGAACCTGCACGAGCATGGGGTGTTGCCGGCCATGCTCACCTCTGCCACACTTGCACATACCATGCTCGTTTGATGTTGCAGGAGCTGACTGTCCTCCGGGACAGCGACGCCGAGGAGGTCAGAGTGAGCCTCACCGCCGGCGGCTCCTGCCTCGTGACCCTGGCCCCGGTCCTGGCCGCGGGGGGAGTCAGCCTCGCCCCAGTGGGCCTGGTCAATATGCTGAACGTCGGGGGCGCCGTCCTGGGCTGGACCTGGGGCGCGGCGGCACCTGCTGCCGCCCCCTCGGCGGAGATCAGGGTTCGTGGCAGCGGCACCCTCCTCTGCTGGGCCTCGCGGGAGCCGGCTCGGCTGTCACTGCCAGCTTCAGCCTCCCAGAATCTGACCTGGCAGTTTGACGACCAGCACGGGGCCTTGCGCATCACCATCCCTGATATGCCCGACATCGAGCAAGACATCTGCATCGCCTTTTAGCAGCCCTGCTGGCTGAGCCCGGGAGCACTGGCCACCATTGGCACTGCCTGCAGGAGCCAGATCTGTACGGGGCGTCCGGTCTAGTTATTGAGTTTGGGTTTGGCTTGACCTGACACACTCATAAGGGCCGTGTGACCCAAAAATCAGAGATCTCCTTCATAGCAAGCTTCATGCCACTGTTTCCTTGTTGGCGCTGGGCGGGGAGGCAGTGCCGGGTTGGAACTCTGCATTCCAGGCTGCAGCTGCCTCCTCGGGGGTACGCAGTGTCCATAGAGGGTGATGGGAGGAGGTCTCCTCTGGGTCCTGGGGGCGGAGTGCAGGGGTCGCAGGGAGGTGAGCGACTGTTGATTTGAAACAAATACATCCAAGTGATCCATTGGCATGGGGCAGCTTCACCATTCCCATGATCACCCTTCCTCACCACGTCCTTGAATTTTGTCTTCTGCTTCATGCAGTTGATAAAGTTGCTCCAGTGTTGTGTGCAATCATCCAGCTTGCCCTCTACATAGTATTCTGTCAATTGATACACAGGGGCTGCACGGGGGGGCGAGGTGAAGGGTGAATATTCATGCTCACATTGGATTCCACTCACACATGCGCGCATTCAATCGCCAAAGGCCGTCAGCAGCATTGAAGTACTCACAGTAGCAAAACCAGAGGGCGTCGAAATAAGGGATGCAGGATTGCCGCTTGGGAGCACTTGTGGTGGCCTCATCACTGCGACTCTCGGAGGCCAGAGGGGCCTCCGAGGGCGCACTCGGCATTGTTTGACGTGTCCAAGGAGGGAAGGTACCAGTGCGCGCTTTCGTACACGGGGTCCCGACTCGAGTACACCACAGTCCGAGGTGTAGGGGACACCTCACATGGATTCGAGGAAGTCAGTCGGTAACAGGCACGCCACACTGCGGATTACTGGACTATCATTTTGTGTCCAGGCTCCCCTGCAGGCTGTCGTAAGCTCGCCTCGTCCTGCCACAATCCTGCGTGCGGTTCTTGCTGCGCCTGCTGCGGGGGTCTTCAGAGTTAGATCATTCAAGGTCACTCTTCCTGGGTAGCTCTTGTCAGGTGATGGAATTATTGCAAGCTCTCTGATCGATGAAAGAATATTGTTTGTGTGCTGCTTGCGTAACTCTGTCTCGCCCGACTCAAACCCTCTTGGTGTCTCTCGTCTCGACTGCAGAGGAAGCAGGCATTATCCTGTCAATCTGTACCCTTTCATTCTGAACGAGGCGGAGCTATCATGAGCGACAGGGTAATCGCATTGCCCCCCGATGAGGCAACATACACGCTGCGCTCGGCCCATGTGCCCGTGTGCTGCCTGGAGAGGCTCAGACCTGAGGACCTGGAGGGCCTGCAGCCCTGTGTGGACGGCCTTGCCCTCGTGGACATCACCGTGAATGGCTCCAAGATACTCTCCATCACCCCAGCTGGGGGCGCAGCCAGGGATCAACTCCCGAATGGTCATGCAGCTGCTCACCAGGCGCTCCCAGTTCCACACGTCGACCTGCGGGGCAAGATGGTCCTGCCCACATTCGTAGACCTGCACACCCACATAGGTGCGACGTCGACCTGGATGCAGCAATGCCATGCATACCTGTATTACCGTGATTGGGTTGAACCAGGATTGCCCTTCAACCCTTGGCTGGCAGTGCTCGGGGGACGTGTTGAAAGCTGCAGGGGTGCCTGTGGCTCCCTCTTTGGTCGCCATCCCCTCCCCCTGGCCATCAACCCTCCCTCGTTGTTCTGTCCACTCCTGCACCCCCCACCCTCCCAGACAAGGGCCACACGTGCGAGCGCAGCCGCAACCCGGACGGCTCCCTGACGGGCGCTGACCGCAGCACGGCCGCCGACGCGGCCTTCTGGGACGCCGACGACGTCCGGCGGCGCATGGAGTTCGGCCTGGCCAGCGCTCACGCGCACGGCACTGCCGCGCTGCGCACGCACCTGATCAACATGACCCCAGCGCAGACGGCGCTGACCTGGCCCGTCTTCTCGCGCCTGCGGGCCGAGTGGCGGGGCCGGGTGGAGCTCCAGGGCGTGTCGCTGGTAGCCCTGTCCTTCTACCGCGACGCCGAGGCCGCGCGCGCTCTGGCGGACCTGGTGGCAGCGCACGGCGGCGCGCTGGGCGCCGCCGTCTGCTGCGCCGAGCGCGGCGGAGACCCCGCCGACGACTGGACCACCTGCGACCGGGATCGGGGCGAGCTGCTGGACAGGTGGGGGTGGGAGTGTTGGTGGAAGAGGGGGTGGGAGGGATGTACAGGGTATGAATATGGGTTGCAGGTCAAGGGGGGGGAGCTGCTGCTGACGTGCTGATGCGCGTGGTAACAGCATTACCAAGCATCCTGGCACCTGTGCAATACTTTTCCCCATGGCGTCCTCTCTGGCTATTGGAAACTTGGGACTGAAACCCAACCCTCACTCCCCACTCCCAATGCGCAGGATCTTCACTCTGGCCAAGCAGCGCGACCTGGACCTCGACTTCCACACAGATGAAAACGGCAACGAGGCCGCCAAGGGGCTGCGCTACGTTGCCGAGAAAGCCATTCAGCACGACTACATTGGGCGGGTGGTCTGCGGCCACTGCTGGTGAGGGGGGCGGGCTGTGCTCTGGGTGGGTGGGCTGCGCGTGCATGGAGGATGGGTGACAGCCGGCAGGTTTGAGGCGGCGCGGGTGGGGCGATGATGCATCCTCATCCACCCATGCATCAGCGTGCCCGCAAGTGCTTGAGGCTGCCGAGGGTCCCCTTCACATGGTGGACCAAGCACTGAGTATCTCAACACCCCACTTTCCTTCTCCCCTCCTCCAGCTCGCTGGCCTACCAGTCGCAGGCCGACCTGGACTTGACCCTGGACCTGGTTCGCCGCGCGGGCATCACCATCGTCTCCCTCCCCCTGGTCAACCAGTGGACCCAGGACCGGCGCCTGGGCGTCACCCCACGCTGGCGCGGAGTGACGCTGATGCACGAGATCCGGGCTGCGGGTGTGCCGGCGGCCCTCGCCTCAGACAACACGCGCGACCAGTTCTACGCCTACGGCGACCTCGACATGCTGGAGGTCTTCGTGCAGGTGGGTTTGCGTGGGGTTTGGGGGGTGGAGAGTGCGGAGTGGTGGGGGGTCTGAGCAGCGAGGCTGCAGTCTCCAGAGGCAGCCGGAGGCAGCGAGCCCTCGCCGCGCCGCGTGTGCGCAGGGAATCAGACTCCACAGCATGCCGCGATCCCTTGTAGCCTCCTCTGACCCACCTACCCCCCCATACACAAAGGGCTGCCGCATGGCGCACCTGGACCGCCCCTACGAGGATTGGGTACGCAGCGTGGGCAGCGTCCCCGCCCAGGCCATGGGGTTGGAGGGGCATGGGACGCTCTGCTCGGGGTCAAGCGCCGACTTTGTGGTGTTCAGGGGGCGATGCTACAGCGAGCTCATGTCCCGACCTCAGGTGAGGGATGAGGGGGCGCGTGATTGGATCCAGTGTGCCGGCGGAGCCGTCGGCTGGGTCGGTGGCTGGAACGTCAGGGTCTCCTCCACGGCATGCCGTGCCCGCCCCAGACTCATTCCCCTTATCCCCTACACACTGTCCAATCACCTTTTCGCCGCAGCACGACCGCCTGGTGGTCAGAGCCGGCCGGCCGATCGACGCGCGGCCTCCGCCGTACGAGCTCCTGGACGACCTCAACGTCCCACATGAACAGCGTGGCGCCGAGGCCATGGTTGAAAAAGATGTGCTAGTCTGCGCATCAAAGCCAAATGGCTGTTCACCAGCTGCGCCACGGCACTGCAAGGCGCCTGTTCTCGATCGCGTGAGGGCTTACCTGCCCATGGTCATCACCCTCCTGGTGGGGGTAACACTGGGCGCCGGCACTGTGGGGTTTGCGCCACGGAGGTAGCTGAGCGAACCGTCTGCTTCTCACAAATGCACCATCCCATGCCCTTTCATGACACCTTGTGGCTCCGCTCACCGTGTTTGCTGCCTTGTATACATTTGTAAGCTGAGGTTGTAGATTGCATGCCATGTCAGTATGTTCCACCGTGGGTCAGTCACTCATCCAGTTGGTCAGTCAGTCAGTCGAGGGTAAGTTGGGAGTGCACCCCATTTAAGCTGCTCCTCATGGCAAACATCCATGTTCTCCACGGCCTTGTGTGAATGGCGGCTGCTCCACCGCCATCAACTGCCTCTGGAATGTGGAGCAGTGCCGCCGCATGCATGAGTTGAGGGCAGCCTTGCCGGCCTTGCTCTGGTAGTCCAGGTACGCCTCGAATCTGGTCGCCAGACGACGCAGTTGATCATGCGTGAGGTTCAGGGGACCCGGGTTGTGGAAGGTGATGGCCAGGCCTGATGACGGATCGCGGGCGCAGTCGTCCTCCAGACAGATGCTGACAGATCGTGCGAGCAGGGATGATCCGCTCCCGCGAGCCGCGAACTCCTGCAGCAAAAACGTCACCACCGCTCTGCTGCTGGAGATGTGGAATGGCGCGAGCTGGAGCCGCACGTGTTGCCTGCCATCCGCGCCTCGCACAGACTGCAAGGCTCCTGCGGCGTGCCTGCCGGCCCTTGTCTCTGCCAATTTGTCCAGCCAGCCTGGCCCGTCCGGCGAGGACATGGGGCTGGAACCGGTCGAATAAAGTTCGATGTAAGGTATGCGATGGGTTGGTGTGACGATTCGTGACGCTTCATTTGCTCGGCAGCGCGATGAGAAATTGAAACGAACCCCTCCAACAGCGCACCACGCATCGCATGCATGAGTGCGATGCTCTTCAGTGCTCGCATCACATTCTGTGCGCTTTGCCGATTTTAAGGATACATTCATGTGTCAAATTCGCGGCGCGAATAACGGACTATGCGCCTCTTTGTACTTCCTGCCGGTGGGCCAGTCCCTGCTATGATACAATATCCTTCGGCTTGCCTGCCTCGTTGATAAGTGGCACCGTTGTTGCATGCCTTTATAGAAACATACATGACATGAATCGCACATTCAACTTTCTGCATCGCGGCATACATGCATGGGCAGCTCTTACAGGAACGCCGGTCCTCCTGGGAGTGCCTTGCGGTCGTAGCCTCGAGCCTCGGCGACACATGACAAGGTGCCTAACGTCATCACTTTACACAAGGAGACAGAGGCTTTCCTCGACGGCGATGCAACACAACAGCACTCCAATGGCCACGGAAGTGCCCATCCCTCTGTGTGAGCTCCAGGCCTGCCACGAGACTAGCGCAGAGGGTGTACAAGCCCTTTTTAAAGAACTCGCTGCGGCTACGATGGAGGCAGCAACACTGAAGCGCTTGGATGGCAATGATGCACCCAGTCTTGAAGACCTGCAGGTGATGGCAATGCCTTGCGCATACCAATGCTGCATGGAGCCATGAGCAGGCATCAGCTTCACGATCAGGCCCATTCAATAAGCATGCAGAGGCATTCCATCCCCTGCCCTACCTCCACAGACAGAACTGGGCTGGCTATTCCTGGATGCATGTTGCCTTGAGGATGCCGTCAGCAGGGACTGGCAGGCAATCGGCCGGCATGAGCTCAGCTGGCTGCAGGGTGAAGGTCCCATGCCCTTGCACTTGCTACCCTGGAGGCTCCGGGCCAGCGTCGACGAGCTGGGTCAGTCTTGTCGTGAGGGACTGTCCAGTGCAGGCCTGGGACACTGTGCGAGCAACCCATGCCGGCTTGACCCTGTTCCATCAGGCATGCCCCATGCTGGCATGGAAGCATTGGGCGAGCCCCTCCCTCAAGCCCAGCCATGGGCTCCGCAGATCCTCTCTCACTCGCCTCCTCCCAACTTTGCAAACATGCTGCCGCAGCCGCGCTGTGGACCCGCCGCCTGCAGGAGCGCACCCCCCTGCAGTACCTGACGCACACCGCGCACTGGCGTGACGTGGTCTTGGCCGTCGGCCCCAGCGTCCTCATCCCCCGCCCGGAGACCGAGTTGCTGATCGACTTTGCCGAGTCGGCGCTGCGCCGCGACGCCCGCCTCGCCGCGCGGCCCTGGGTCGACCTGGGCACCGGCAGCGGGGCCCTGGCCTGCGGGCTGGCGAGGCTCAAAGGTGGGCCGGGCTCCGTCCACGCCGTGGACTTGAGCCCCACAGCGGCGGCGACGGCACGGACCAACGCGCGGCGCCTGGGACTGGAGCACAGCGTGCACGTCGTGCAGGGGTCCTGGGCGCAGCCACTGCTGCCGGACCTGGCCGGGGCGTGTGGGGGGGTGGTGAGCAACCCGCCCTACATTCCCAGCCACTGCCTGCCGGAGCTCCAGGCCGAGGTCGCCAGGTGTGTGTTGGTTGGGAGGGGGGGAGGTGGAGGGGTTGCGGAGTGAGGTGTGGTCCTCGCCATGCCTGGCAGAGGTACTCTCTACTGGGAGCGTACTCTTCGTCCAAGCCATGCCCCTTGTGCACCCCACACCCCCCTGGCCACAGGCACGAGCCCTGGCTGGCTCTGGACGGCGGAGTGGGTGCCGCCCTGGACTGCTTTGAGCCCATTGTCCAGGGTGCCTCCGCCCTCCTCGCCCCTGGGGGCTTCCTGGCCCTGGAGTCCGGGGGGGCTGAGCAGGCGGCGAGCGTGGCGTCGCTGCTGGAGCGCACCGGAGCGTTTTCTGACGTTCACATCAGGCCCGACCTGGCAGGCAAGGACCGCTTCATCCTTGCGACCCGAACTCATACCGATAATGACTGACCAATTGAGAATCTAAATCTTTGCATCAGCAAGGGGCATCGTCTCAGCCACTAGAGGAAAATTCTGAGGGACTAGGGCACTCGTACAGACTCAGGAGGGAAGGGGCAGCAGGGTGCCCGGGCCTGGCCCCACCCATTTCACTCCTCCTCTCCAGGCCCGTCAGTCAGAGGGCACATACTCCTCCGATTCGGCCTCAGAAGCAGACTCGGCCTCGCTGCGCGGGCAAGGTTTAACCATCACTTTCTGGAGCCATGGATCCAACGCGGATAGTGGAAACCCACCCTCCCAGCCTGATGTCGCTCTGTGTGGCTGCATACCATGCCATGTCAGCGATCACCACCCCGCTCCAGCACGAACAACTCATACCTGCTGTCGTCATCCACGGTGTACTTTGCCTGCGTCGCCTTGGCGGCGGCCTGGCGCCGGGGGGCAGCGACCCTCGGGCCCAGGGGCGCGGCGGCCGGGGAGTCGCCCACCTCCACGCCGTCCTCGCTCTCCGCCTCGGACTCGCTGTTCGCCTGCGAGCGGGGGTGCGGAGTCGCGAAATTGCATGCCTGAGGGAGGAGCGCTGGACACATCCCTCACCCGCCGTGATGAGGGGCTCGGGCCCTGTGTTCCACCAACGGAGAAATGGCCACCAAACAGTCCTCTCCATCGCACCTGCTTCTTCTTGGCGGCGGGCTTGCCCTTGGCCAAGGGGGAGGGCCCCGCGCTGCTCTTGCCCAATCCTGATCCCTTGTGGAAGGGGCTGGGCCGCATGCGTGCGACCTGGCGGGGGGAAAGGGTTGGAGGGCGTCACAGGGGGGCAGGTCCCTCATCTCGACATGAGACGCATACCTTCCCATTCAGCATGCCCTCCAGGCTCAACACCCGAGACACAATACCCAATCACACACACTCTCACCTTGGGCTTGACCACGGGGGAGGGCGCCTCCTCGGCCTCCGGCACGGCCAGCTTCCTGGCGGCTGCGGGCCCGGGCTTGCGCTTGGCCCCCAGGTTGGAGGCCGCCCCACCCGCGCGGCGCGCGCGCGGCGCCTGCTTCCGCGGCGCGGGGGAGTTGACCTCCTCGTCGCCGCTGGACGCGCCAAACTCCCCGTCCTCCACGACCACCACGCTGGCGCTGGGGGCCCTGGCCGGGGCGAGCGCGCTGCCCTGGCCCCACTTGGAGGCCGGGGGCGCAGCGCGCGGCCCCGGCGCGGCGCCGCCGGTGCTGGCGGCCGCCGCCGCCCCAGTGACCTCGGAGACGACCGACAGGTCGCCCATGCGCGCCGCCATGCGCGCCATGAGCGACATCTCCTCCTCCTCCACCACCACCGGGCGCGGGGCGGCCGGCAGGCTGGGGAAGGCCGGCTTGGGTGCCGGCACGGGGCGCGCCGCCGCCGCGCGAGCCGCCGCTGCCTTGCCCAGGCCGCTGCGCTTCGAGCCGGCGGCGCTGTCGCCGGCAAGCGACGCGCCGGAGGCCGCCGGGGCTCCGGAAAGCACGGAAGAGGTGGGCGTGGGCCGGGCCCTGGCCGGTGCCGGCTTCTTCGCGGGCGCTGGGCGCCGCGGCGCGGCCTCCGCATCGCTGTCGCCCTCCTCGCCTGTGGCGGGGGCCGGCGCGGGCGCGACGGAGGTCAGGGGGAGGGATATGAAGGGAACGGTAAAGAAAGAGGGCAGGGTGGTGGATGGACGGTGCCGGCTAGACTGCAGGCTGTAACTCCTGAACGCCCAAAGTCCCACCTGACGACTCGTCATCCGCCTCGCTCTCGTCCTCCGACCAGACGTTGGCCTTCTTCTTGGATTTGGAGGCGGCCGCCTGTGATGGGTGTGGAGGAATGTCGATGCCTGCTTCTTCGGCCTGCACACGGGAACAGAGCCTCAGTACGGTAGCACATCATCCCCACCGCTGGCGCACCTTGGAATTTTTGCGGGCCTGGGCCTGCTGCTTGACCAGCACGGCTGTACGCCGCGTGTCCTCGTCGATCAGCGCCCTCCAGAGCTGCATGGGTGGGGGTGAGGGCAGGCGGAGTCGAGAGTTGCGACTACCCCCCCCGCCAGCTGCTGGTGGCCAATGCGCCTCGGCCGGTGCGCCACCCTCTCCTCCCACATTGTCAGGGCAGCTCACCTCGACAAAGGCCTCGAGGTCTGCAGCCCACATCTCGCGGTTGCTGGTGGCGTGCAGGCGGGCGACGGTGGCCCGGTTCTCCTCGGTCTCTGTGGGAGGCGGGCGAGGGGATGAGAACCTGGCAATTGGCAGAGGTGAAGGTCTCCTCTACTCCTCCTTTATGCACGGCCCCAATGCTCTCACTGATCACCCTGGGTAACCAGGCCCCGCACACATCACCTTTGAAGACACCCTGTTTCCATGAAAAGGTGCACAGCCATCCCCCCAAAACTCCTCTTCCCCACCTTCCTGCAGGGCCTCCACCTTCTCGTGCGTCAGACTGGCCAGGGGCATGGACAGCAGGTACTCGTAGCTGCCTGCCGACGCGCCGCCCTCCTCCTCCTCCTCCTCCTCTCCCATTGTGGCGGCCACCGCCAGCGCCTTCTTGGCCGAGGGCAGGCGGTCGTACCCCTCGCGCTCCAGCTCAGCCTCAATGTCGCCGCGCTTTCTGTTGGACAGCTTGAGCTCGCCGCCAACCACCGCCAGGATGAAGCGGACCTTGTTGGAGATGCGCAGCAGGTCGGCCTCCGCTGCCTGTAGTGGAGGTTGGTTTGTGTGTGGAGATGGACAAAACCACTGGGCGCAGAGCCGGGCTGAGAGCCAGGCCCCGCCCCATGTTGGCCGAAGCGGCCGCGCTGTTGGGCACTTGTGAGGATCCAGCGTCTGGAAGGATCTGGCCGATGGCCTTCCTTCCTGACCTTGATCACCCCTCAGCCCCCTTCCCCCCCTCCACCTCTTCCGCCGCCTGGGACCCCTCCCGCACACACACACACACACATGCAAACCTTGAGCAGGGCTGCGCGGCGGCGGGAGTAGTACTCCAGGCGCAGGTCGAAGAAGTCTCGAAGGATGTGCTCCGGCGAGTCGTACTTTTGGATGACGCCGTCGGGGTTGAACAGCATCATGTTGCCACAGGAGATCTTGGTAGTCAGCTTGAACTTGGTCTCCAGGCCCACGGCCAGCGCCTCGCGCATCTTGGCCTCGGTCAGCGTCACCACGAACCGCACGCTGGTGTCAGTGTGGTGCTCGCGGTAGTCGGTGATGAAGGGCACCGCCGCGCGGTCCTCCGGCTTCACCAGCTCCTCCAGGAACTCCTTGTAGTCCTGGGTCCACTTGCGGATGGGCAGCTCCGTGATCTCCAGCGTGGTCTCGTCCAGCTGCCGGATCGTGCCTGTCACCTGGTAGGACTTGCCGCTGGTCTTGCCGGGGACCTACGGGGTTAGTTGGGTTGGGGGGGGGGAGGGGGTGAGGGGGTGAAAGATGCTGGTGATAAAGAGTCGGGGGAGGAAAGGATGAAATTGAGTGGGGGTGCCTGATGCGGCCCCGATATCGTCAATTCATTTGCTCAGAGATGTCATTGCAATGTACGCACTGATAACCTCCTCCTCATGTCAGCATCGAGGGCATGACACACCAAGTGCACGCCAGCCATGTCACCTCACCTCCTCAATGGTGCCCGTGAACCCACGGTACCAGGGCTTCATGGGCACCGGCTCCTCGCCCTCCAGCAGGCGCCTCAGGTTGTCCACCTGGCGGGGCAGTGGGCATGATGAGATCAGGTGATGTGGCGCGCCAGTTTGACATCGTGTCTCAACAATTCTTCTCCTGCACCCGGTGTGGTGCAGTCAAAGCACCACAGCTGCCCTAAGAAGCCAAATCGTTGCACGTACAATGTCCTCCGGGTTGTAGTTGGGGATGGAGGTGGACCACCCAGTCCCGATACCGTCAGCGCCGTTGATTAGCACCATCGGCAGGATGGGAGCATACCTGGTGTTGTCAGGGTGGAGTAGGGTCCAGGATGGTGGGCGAGGGTAGCAGGACCCAATGCGGCTCATCAAAAGTCAAATACTTCATAAGCATGCGCCAAACGCCACCGCCTTGCCGCACAGCGGCCGGCACCCGTACAACTAGTCTTGCGTCATCTCAGGATGCGCACCATTGCGGCTCGATGCCTTGGCCCTCCTCGTTCAGGTAGGCCAGGAGTCTGTCGTCCGACTCGTTGAAGAGGCTGCGGGCCAGCTGTATGGCGAGTGCGGGTGGAGTGGCTGTGGAGTGGCGGTGGAAAGAGGCAAGCGAGGGCAGGCGGCTCGCTCACTGGTGGTCAGTGGGTGTCCATGGATGACAAGGACCTCAAGTTCCATTCAAATGCATCCTCCTGCCCCCTTTCCCCTTTCCTCATCAAACTAGATCTACTCACAGGGGCCAGACGGGTGAAGATGTATCGAGCGCTGGCAGCGTCCTTACCACCCTGGAGCCGAGTACCGAATTGACCTGGGGAGGGGCTGGCAAGGGTGGTGAGACGACCAGCCTGGGGCAGGGACTGGGGGGATGCTGTGCAGTGAAGCAACCCCTCACCCACCCTGGGGCACAAGCAGGTTGATGTTGTTGGAGCCGATGAAATCCTGGGCCAGGCCCACGATGGTGCCCTGCAATGAGGCCTCTCCGTGGTGGTAGGCCGAGTGCTCGGCGACGTAGCCCGCGAGTTGGGCCACCTGCCAGGGAGGGAGGGGAGGGGGCAAGGGTGGTTGGAGGAGTCTGTGTGACAAACTGAGCACGAAGATGGGAAGTGCCATGCCACGCAGGCGGAGTCCAGGGCACAGAGTGGGTTGCAGGGTCATGTGACATCACAGCCAAGCAGTTCAAACCCGCGTCAACCCTCCGCACCTTGATGTCGGATTTCAGGTTACGCTTGAAGCAGGCGTAGAGGATCTTGCGCTGGCCGGGCTTGAGGCCATCCACCATGCAGGGGATGGAGCGCTCCAGGTCAGCCCTGGAGAAGAGGATGAGCTCCTGTGCAGGTGGTTGGGGGGAAGAGTGTGACGTGGAAGGTGAGCATGGACGTGGTTTATGTTGTCAATGTTCGTGCCATTTCCCCATGAGCATCTCCCAGCCATGGGATCCATTCATCGTTCCAGGTGCCGCCAGCCATGCGGCAGTTGCTCTTGAGAAGCCGTTCTTGTGCCGTGCCAACCTTCGTCCGATCTTGAACGTGCCCTCTGCTCACCCTATGCACAAAGTCGGAGTAGGAGATGGTGTCGGCGGTGTGGTCCAGGAAGGTGCCGGGGACAAAGGAGCGCAGCCAGTCCTTCCTGTCCTCCACCTTCTTCTTTGAGAAGGCCATCTCGATGGCCGTGCCATCCTCCTCGCCTGCGGGAAGTACGGGAGCAGCTCGTGTTAAGAGCACTTGCACGCAAATAATGAAGCTTCAGCGCAACCGTGTCCTCCATACTCCCACACCACTCACCCTCCCAGACAAACTCCTTGCGGTGGTGCGCCAGGCCCGCAAAGTACTGCTTGGCCTCCTGGGCCGTCGAGGTACCCAGACCCTTGTAGTACTTGATTTTCCATCCACGGCGAGACCCCTCCTCACACCAGCTCTCGTACTCGGGCATAGTGTAAAATGACTTGGACTGGCTGCCCTTAGTGGCCTGAGTTGAGGGTGAGGGGCGTGGTGCAGTGTAGACTGCATGGATCGCTGGTTGGGAGTGGATGAGATTTCACATTGCCTAGTGGTTGGTTCACATCAAGGGCAGAAGCTCCACCCCACCCATCCGCCAGGCTCTCACTCCATGCCCACCTTGATGATGGGCGTGATGAACTCCACGAGGAACCCCGGGACCTTGAGGAGGCTTGGGTAGAAATGGTGGAAATAGTTCATGATCAGACCCTGCAGGGGGGGATGGGAGGAAGGGAGGGCAATGCTGAGACCGGAGGAGGACAACAGCATGGCACCCGCTCCGCAATCTAGGGTTTATATCGCTGGGATCCCCATGAAAGAGTTCCTTTCCCTCCCGTCTCTGGCGATTGCACTGAAATGTCTCGGACCTTGATGTGAGAGCCATCATGATCCTGATCGGTCATGATCATAAGGTGACCATACCGCAGGCTCTTGGCGTCAGTGTAGGCCTGTGCGCCATGGGACAAGTGCAGTTGAGTGTACAAAAAGTTTGATGTTCTAATGGGGACCCTTGGGCTGGCGCTGGTGTGAGCCGGAACAGCACCCTGCCACCCGTCTCTAGCCTCGACTTTCCTTGAGCTGGACAAAGGCCATGGTGTACATAAGCCTCAATTCACCCATCCTACCCCCCGTCACCACTTGCTGTAGATACCTTTCCGTGCTGCAGCCCAAGGATCTGCTTGATGTTTTGGATCTCTGCATTCCCGGTGATCTGTGCAGTCCCAGCATCCCTCACGTTTAGCAGCTTGCCCCTGGTTGTGTAGAGAGGTGACCGGAGACTTTCCCATTGATAGTGAGAGGAGGGTAGGGCCAAAAAGTCTGCAGATCAGCTGTACATTTTGAGCGTCCTGCTCATCCACAAGCATCCGCCATCCAAGCTGGGGCGGAGGATGCACCCCCCAGAGAGACAGTCCTTTGGTCACAGACCCCAACGCCTCTGAAGTCTGCTCCCCTCCCTCCGCTCCCAAGCATGCCACTACCTGAGGGGGAAGACGCCATACTTGTCTCTGCCGACAACACTGAGCCCCGAGATGGCCAGGGTTTTGGCCGAATCTCCCTCGGTCAGGATGAGGGTGCACGCCGCCGAATTGCGCCCACCAGCGTCGTTGGCGTCGTCCAGCTTGGGAATGCCTGGTGCCGGAAATGTGGATGTCGATGTGTGGGAACCTCTTCCCTGCTGAGCAGTTGTGATGTCATCCCGTCCTCCCCAGCAGCCAATAAACTGTGGTCTGATCCAGACGTTTGAAGACATCGGATCTTCAAGACCTCTGCTCCCTAATCACGCTCGAGGGTCTACTCCAGCAATTCAACTCCAAGTCCATCCTCTGCCACCCGCACCTGTGAGACGGGAGCGCTTGGCTCCATCCCCCTTCTTCAGCTCCTTGTCCGCCTTGAAGGATGCCAGACGCAGGATCTGGTCAACGACGCCGCTCGTGGCGACCTTCTTCAGGATCCCATCCGACAGGTGGCAGGAGGAACCAAAGCCGCTGGCTAGGAGGGTCATGGTCTCCTTGGCCTGCACAGAGGAAAAGGGGATGTGAATGTGCTGCTCTAAGGTGCCATGCGTAAGCTGTCAGCATGTGACCTGGCATTTTCCTGGGTGATAGTCCTGCCACGGCTGTTATCCTTTCCTCACAAACCCCAAACGAATACGGGAACAACGAGTCCTTCCCAATCCTACCTGCGAGTCAAAGGCCGGGTTTTCGATGAGGCAGTTGACGAACACCCACAGGTAGCTCTTCACCATGTGCCCTTTTACTGTGGCCTGCGCGTGTTGAAGGCATTTAGATCAGTTGTTGATGGTCGGCACATGAGGCACACGCATCATTCCCAGTGCCCAGATCTGCCAACCGCCCACTTTTCCGCATCATACGCACACGCAAGCAGGCCATATCTATGACACTCAACCGACCTGTTTGTGCTTCTTGGCCATAAGCTCCAGCAGGTGCTTGGTGACCTGTGCCTCCACGGCGTTCACATGGGTGCCGCCCTTGGTGGTGCAGATGGAGTTGACGAAGGACACCTGCTGGAACTGGCCATCCGACTGCGCGATTACCACCTCCCAGCGGTCGTTGATGCGCTCGTAGAACCGTGGTGGACCCTCCTCCTGCAGGCGACGGGACCAGGGACAGGGTGGGGCCAGGAATATGTGGGCAATCACTGGAGTACTGTTTGCATATGCCCGACAGGCATGTATGCCCAAAGAGCACCCTGCAAAAGTCCATCTACTGGCACATGCCCACGATCAGGAACACCAACCGGCATGAGCCCATGGCCTGCACACCTTGTCTCCGAGGTACATGTCCACGTAGGCGGAGAAGTCCCTGACAGGCAGCATCTTGCCATTGTAAGACACCTGCAGGAAACGTAGGATTCGTGTCAGCCCTACATCGACTGGGATGGTCAAGCGTCTGGGATGGGTCTGCTTGTCCCTTCGCATGCCTGTTCCCACCCATGCCTGCCTCAAGCACTGCGGACTGGGCTTCAACCAAACACACCTTGACGGTCTTGCCCAGAACGCCTGCCATGTCGTATACACGCTTGCGGAAGAGAGTGATGGTGTCCTCCTCCAAAGCGGCCATTTGGAACCTGGTGTGGGAAAAGTATGGGACGTGGAGCACGCGGGTCGTTGGTACAGAAAATTGAAGAATGAAACAGCAGAGCAAGCTGACTGCGAGAAGGGGGGTCCAAGCCTGCTCGCAGACTTCCCAACATTCGGCCACCGGCAAACTCAGCACATCGCCATCTACCTCTCCAGGTCAGGCTTAAAGGTGATGCAAGTCCAGTTCTCGCTGGATGAGCATGGTGTGATTTGGGGTTCGCCCTTCTCAGACATGTTATTCTTGAACACCTACGCGGGACGAGGTTGCAAAGGTGGGGAGGTGAGCGCACATAACTGGCGGGTGTGGCCTTGAAGGAGTAGAACCGAATCAATCTGTTGGGATGGACCAACCTCTGCTCAGTCTCCAGCACTTCTCGAGTCCACCAGGATGCCATCCACAGATAACTTCACATCCCAACCTTCCCTGTGATGCTACAGACCTGCTTGTAGCGCCGCTTGCGAGCACCATCGCATGTCTCCACGATGAACTCTTTAGAGAAAATGTTGGCCAGCTTGGCGCCATATCCATTGCGGCCACCCGTCACCTGAATGATGGCAACGAGGGTGGATGGTTTGGGGTATTGGCTGGCAGCGAATGGAGGCACCCTTGACGCCAACTAAGGGCATTCCTATTGGATCCTACTTTCTTTGCATGCCAGGAGATCCACAGATGCTCAACAACGTCCCACTGCACTTCGACCTCACCTTCTTCTCCTTGTCATCGTAGTTGGAAGAGGTCAGCAGGTGCCCGAAGATGAGCTCGGGGACATGCACGCCGTGCTCCTTGTGCACCTCCACAGGCACGCCCGCGCCATCATTGTACACCTTGATGCTGCCGTTCAGCTGACAGGGTGGAGGCAGGTGCCAGAGGTGACTTCCAGCTGGGCGGTGGCGCAGAGCAGTCACCAGCAGAGCAGGGTCTCTGCACTGCCCGGATCGGCATGGCAACTCTTGACCCTGCCTTGAGGGCTTCCAATACCTCATACCTCATCCACGTCCACTCGCAGGGTGCTCATGGTCGGGTCGCGGATCTTGTTGTCCGCGGCGTTCACCAGGATCTCGTCAAAGATCTTGTACAGCCCGGGGGACACCTGGATTGCACGGTTTACCAGCCTCTCCCCATCGTGCACCCACAGCTGCTGCTGCTGGCGCTGAGTGCTGCCGATGTAGGTGTCCGGGCGCAGCAGCACATGCTCTAGCTGTGTCAGCTTCTGGTATGTCTGCTCGATGGTCTTCTTCTTGCTGGCCTTGCTGGTGGCCGTCGCCTTGGAGGGTCCCTGCGCGGCGGGTCATTACAGAGCCTGTCGAGACATACATCCCTATTATTTAATCCAATCCATCAGCATCAGCATCACTTACCGCTGCGCTGCTGACATTCAGCGACGTGTTCTCGGAGTAGCCGGCCTCCATCGGATCACTTCCAAAACTCAACCCAGGTGTTCGCGAGACCGAGTGCTCCCTCAAAGCATCATCGCCATGTGTCCAGCAGTACTCTCGGCGGCACCGGACCACATCGTCGCCCTCGGATGTGGGGAGCTGTCGAGCGTCATGTTGAACCTCTCGAAATTTCCCGCCAGCATCACACTCAATCCTCTTGATGGCGTTATTGCCTGAGCCGCGGTGCCATGGAGGAGGACCATGCCATGCCGCGATATTCGGTGCATGCAAATCTAGCATAATGTCTAGAATGAACTTGTGAATATTTAGGGAAACCCGTGATTCGGCCGGCATGAAGTGATCTCGCAGATTGGTGCCGGACCGACCCAATAATGTGCGGCAGGGTTGTGGCACCAGGATTGCCATGCAAGAGCTTCGGAGCCTGCGTGGTGGAGCTGGCTGGTATCATGTGTCCTTGATGCAATTAATCAATCACCTCCTGGTAATATTTATCCACCCGCCGGACTTACTCTGTCGTCGAGCCACCATGCAGGTCGAGCCCCGGACCAGCGGGGTTCAGCCCGGCCCGAGGCCTGCAGCCAGGCCACACACGCCTGGCTGAGGGTCCAGACGCTCACCTGCTGCACCACAATGCTCGGAGGTGAGCAGGGGCTAGGAGTGCCGTGGGACCACAGGTCCGCATGCGCCACAAATTCCTGGCCCGGTGCCGATCCCTCCCATGGACACCCTACCCCTGCAGGTGCCAGCGTAGCCATCGCTCAGCCCAGTACAGGGCTCCTTGCAGACCCATCACAAGCCAGGCGAGCCCTGCTTCCTCCAGCCTGTACGAAGCCGTGGCCCCACACCCCTCCCGAGGGCCGCCGAGCTCGGACCCCGCCGAGGCACCCCAGCCGATGCCAGCACCCAGCCCCCCGCCCCCGCCTGTGCACGTCCACTGCCAGACGCTGCCCCCCTGCAAGGACCTTGCCGCAGGCAAGGAGCAGGTGGAGAAGGCGCTCGACGCGGCGGTGGCGGCCAGGGCCGGGCTCCCCGCCGCCCTCATACGCTGTGAGGCCCAGGTCCCTCGAACCCATTCGGCGCTGGCCTGGCTGCAGGCGCAGCGCGCCGGGACTTCGGGGGCCGCTGCACCGAGCCGGCCGGCCCCCACGCTCTACTTCTCGCCGCGCCTGTCCCCCGGCCCCGATTCCGCGGGCGCGGCGGCCGCCGCCTGCGAGGAGGGCGCGGGCGCGGTGGCTGGGGTGGGGGCGGCGGCCCTCTGGCGCGGGGCGCCGGGGGAGGCCCTGGACGCCGCCAGGCTGCACGGCATGCAGCGCTTCACCTCCGCCGCCGCGCCCCGGGTCAGGGCCCTGGGCGGCTCGCGCTTTGACGCCCAGCGTGGCCTCAGCCCGGAGTGGGCAGCCTTCGGGACCTTCACCTTCCTCATCCCCAGGTCCGAGGGAGGGGCCTCCTGTCGTTCTGCATTGTGAAACCGGTGTGTCTCTGGTATGTGTGGCATCTGGGTGGGTGGGGGGCCGTGCGTGACCCAGTGCCAACACCTCCAGTTGACCCCGCCGCACCTTCCTCGCGCAGCGTGGAGGTGACGGACGTCGGCGGCGCGCTCCTCCTGGCCTGCACGGCGTGCTGGGACTCCAAGGCAGCGCCGGGCGCGGGCCCCAGCGCGACGGACGCCGGCGCGGCGCTGGCGACCGCGCTGACCACGCTGCGTGACGTGCGCGGCGCGGCGGCGCCGCCCTCCCTGGCCGCCTTTGCCGGCGGGCGCGGCGCCGTGTCGCACTCCCCCCGCCGCGCCGAGTGGGAGGCGGCGGTCACCCTGGCCCAGGAGCTACTGGACGAGGAAAGCGCAGAGGGGGAGGCGGCGCCCTGCACGCCCTCCCTGCTCGACCCCGGCACGGCCCTGGAGAACTACATCGCGGGGGGGCAGCAGGGGCTGGACGATCTTCTAGAGGCGCTGGAGGGTACTCCTGCACTCGGCGCTCCCGCGACGGTGCGGCAGATGTTGACGACGGGAAGGGTTTTCTCGAACCCCCCATCACTGTTCACGCCATGCCAGGACCTCACCCACACCATAAAATCGTGCAACTCACACAGGGAGGGGACTGCGGCACCCGAGACCCCGACTGCGGCGCCGCCGCACTTTCCAAGGTCGTGCTGGCGCGGCGCTCCGAGCTGCGCCTGTCCGGCGGCGCCGACCCGCTGGCCCTGCTAGCCTCCCTGCAGGCCCGCAACCCACGGGCCTACGCCCTGTTCCTAGAACTGGAAGGCGGGGAGGCCTTCCTGTCTTGCACGCCTGAGCGGCTGTACAGCCGCAGCGGCCGCAGCGTGGCCTCGGAGGCCGTGGCCGGCACGAGGGCCCGTGGCGGGGGTGAGCTGGGCCTGGCTGAGTGGTCTGGGGCTGGGGAGGGTGGCAGCCTTGCAGGCCGCACCCCTTCAGATTCCAGGTAACAGCCTTGGCATGTCGCACTCTGTTGCCAGGTGTGGCAAGCCCCCGCTGCATCACACCTCTCCTCTCAGCCCTCCCGTCATCACCTCCTCCAGGGAGTGTGGAGAACGATTTCTGGCTGGCCCTGGACCTCCTGCAGTCCAAGAAGGAGCACGCCGAGTTCACCATCGTCCGGGATTGGGTGTACGAAGTGGGTCCAGTGTGTGTTGGGGGAGGGAGGGGGGGGATTTGGGCCTCAACCGCCAGGGGAGTCCGCAACACCCTGGGTCGAACTGCCATCAATCGAACCCCCGCACACGGCATTGCAGGCCTTGCGCGGCATCTGCGCCACCGTGCGTGTGGACGTGAGGAAGACGGTGCTGAAGCAGGAGTCGCTGCAGCACCTGTACGGCCAGCTGTCGGGCACCCTGCTGCCGGCTGCCACGGATGCAGACTTGCTCGCCGCCCTCCACCCCACCCCAGCCGTGTGTGGAAGGTGGGTGGCTTGGTGCAAGCTTGCAGGGAGAGAGCACCGCTATGGCTCACCTTTTATCATTGATGCGGCAGGTTGCTTTGCGGTTCTGTACTGTAGGCCGCCCTGTTCACAGCCAACACAGCTGTTCCAGTATGGATGCCCACCTCCCCCCTCTCATGCGCAGACCCAGGGAGGCGTCCAGGGACATGCTCTCCTCGCTGGAGCCCTTTGATCGAGGATTCTACTCTGGCCCGTTTGGCTGGCTGGGGGGACAGGGCGCCGAGTTTGCGGTGGCCATCCGCTCCGCCCTCTTTGTCCCCGAGGTTCAAGCGCCAGAATTTCCTGGCGTGCAGGCCCTGGGCCCGACAGCGATGCGGGTGGCGCTGTATGCCGGCGTGGGCATCGTCCCTGGCTCCAAGGCGTCCCTGGAGTGGGCCGAACTTGATCTCAAAGTGGCGGCCCTGGACCGGCTGCTGACCCCCGTTCCGGCACTTCAGCAGGCAAGGAAACGGGGGAGCCAATGGGGGGTAAGGACTTCAGAATCTGCTCCAACGCCTCCCTGTCCATACCTGCTCGCCTCAACTTCTTCTCTCCTCCTCCGGCATACCTCAGGCGCCCAACCTGAATGCGGCCTACGCCAGGATCTTGGTGGAGGAGCTCTGCAGGCTGGGATGCTCCACATTCTGTATCGCTCCGGGTAGGCATGGGGTGGACTACACTGCTCATGAACTGGTTGCATGCGCGGCATGAGAACGAGGAGGCATAAAAACCCAAAACCCGAACTTGCGTTCCTCTCTTTCCTTCCAACAGGGTCTCGGAGCTCCCCACTCACACTGGCTGCCGCCCAGCATCCCCGGGTCCAGCTGGTGTCGGGGATGGATGAGCGCAGCCTGGCCTTCTGGGCACTGGGTCACGGGCGGTCAGGGGCAGCGCCAGCAGGTGGGCAAGCCTTTGAGGATTTTGGAGGGAGTGGGTTGAGGATGTGCAGCCGTGAAGGCTGGCTCTTGAGAGTGCATAGTAGAGCTGTCCAGCCTTCGAGTCTTCTGCTTGATATTGTAGCGTTCCTGGGTATCTTTTAATCAGGCGATTCCCTTTACACCCAGTGAACCACATTACTGCAACATACACAGCGATCCATTTCCTTTCATACTGCTTCATTTTCCCTGATCATGAAATCATCCCATAGTCCTGACGCCCGGACACCTGTCTGACACCTTCATCTCCTCTCACCCCACCCCAACCTCCTCTCCTTTATACCTCCCAGTCATCCTGACGACGTCTGGGACGGCGGTGGCAAACCTGCTCCCGGCCGCGGTCGAGGGCTGGCAGTCCGGCACCCCGCTGATCATCCTCACGGCAGACAGGCCGGCGGAGGTGCGGGGCTCCGGGGCCAACCAGACCATCCACCAGCCCGGCATCTTCTCCTCCTACGTCTGCTGGCAGGCGGACCTGGCGCCCCCCAGCTCGGCCATGCCGCCGCAGCACCTGCTGGGGTCGCTGGATCGGGCGGTTGCTGCGGCGGGGGCGGGCCCAGTGCACCTCAATGTCCAGTTGCGCGAGCCACTGGGCCCGGTGCCCGAACCCTGGGAAAGCACGGCGTGGCTGGAGGTGAGTTGTGTTGGTACTTTGGCATGGGACTGGGGGTGACTGTAAGCGTGCAATATCTGCAGGGACGTGGGCCGCTGGAGGTTACTGGCTGTTTGCTTTGAGAGGAATGCCGAGGATTGTTGAATATACGAGCACGAGCAGGGCTCAGAAGTAACAGTACTGATATAAACAACTCACCCTGTCCAATGTACAGGGCCTGGGGGACTGGGCGACCTCCTCCCGGCCGTGGAGTGTGCAGCTGGAGGCCGCCGCCTGCGCCTCGCGCCTCCCGCACTCCCTCCTCGCCGCCCTGTCCACCGCGACCCGCGGCCTGCTAGTAGCCGGGGAGCTGCGCGCGCCCGAGGACCGCGCGGCCGCCCTGGCCGTCTCGCGAGCGCTGCGCTGGCCCCTGCTGGCCGACGTGCTGTCGGGCCTGAGAGTGGGGGCCACTGGAGTGCCGGAAGGGCTGATCGCCTGCGGCGACAACATTCTGGCTGCGCAGGATCCGGGCATGTGCACCGCTCTCCGTCCCGACGTGGTGTTGCAACTGGGTGGCCGGCTGACGTCCAAGCGGATCTCAGCCTTCCTGGCCGCCAGCAGCGCGCGGGGGAGCAGCGCCGGTAATGACAGTGCAGCGTGGTGGGTGGTGGATGCCAGCCCGCACTCCTTTGATGAGCATGGCTGCCTTGCAGGGCGGGTGCGGCTGCCGCTGGGCGCCCTGGAGCGCCTGCTGCGTGAAGCAGGGGTGCTGGTCGAGGGAGCCGCGGCAGCCCCATTCACCAGTCCGTACTTGGAGCTCTGGCGGACGATGGACCGCGAGGTGGGGTTCCTGGTGAGGCAGCGCTTGAACAGCGCGCCGTACGGCGAGGCCCACATCGCCGCGTGCCTGGCCTCCAGCCTGCCCAGAGGTGGGCACTGGTGGGGGAAGTCCCGGGGGGAAGTTGGGAGGAGGAACGGTCTTGGAGTTGCAGACCAGGAACAGTTCCCATTCCCGACATATTGCCAGGGTCGATGCAAGCGCAGACGCACCCGGTCCCCAACCCCGATCACCCCACCCAGGCCACGCGTTATACATTGGGAACAGCATGCCCATCCGTGACATGGACATGTTTGCCGACGGCCTGGCATTGAGCGGGTGCACGCAGGGGCAAGGTGGGTGGGGGAGAGTGGGTTTGAGCCGTCCGTGTGGGTCGGTGTCACCTCCGCAGCCTGCTCTTGATGGGGTGCTGTAGCCTCATCCACCGGACACCCCCCCCTCCTGCCTTCCCTTCCCCCATCAGTGCCCAGCCTGGGGTGCCCGGTGGGCGCCAACCGCGGCGCCAGCGGCATCGACGGCGTGCTGTCCTCGGCGGCGGGGTTTGCCAGTGGACTGGGCATGCCCACCACCCTGGTCGTGGGCGACCTTTCTTTTCTGCACGACACCAACGGCCTCATGCTGCTGCGATCAGGCAAGGAGACCTGGGACAGGGCTTGATGCACATGTCATGGAGGTGACTGGCTGACCTGCTTGCATTGTCTTCTTGGGATTGGGCCTGACGGTGTCCATGACTGCAAGTCGCCCTACTTTGGGGTGCATGCTGGATCCATCTGCCACACAGACCCAGCCACGAGTTGAGCACAAGGTTTTGGCAGTGAAAACCCACCCTCGTCCACGAGCCACACTTGCTCACCGACAAATGTTTGCAGGCCCCGCCCGCTCGCCGCTGACGGTGGTGGTGATCAACAACGGCGGCGGCGGCATCTTTTCTTCCCTCCCCATCGCGGGGCAGGTGCCGGCGCAGACGCTGAGCGACGGCTGGACCACGCCGCAGGCCGTCGAGCTGGGTGGGCTCTGCCGAGCGCACGGCGTGCCGCACCTGCGCCTGGGTCTGGCCGACGGCACCCAGGCCCTGCGCGCCGCACTGCGAGCCGCCTGGGCCTCCCACACCCACAGCGTCGTGGAGGTGGCCGTGGACCCCGCCGGCAACCTGGACTGGCACCGCGCGACGACGGCCGCGGCGGCCAAGCTGGCGGAGGGCGTGTGGGGTGCGGAGGTGCGACGGCGGCGCATGGGGGATGTGCAGTCCATGGCGCCGGCCACCAACGGGGCGGTGGGAGAGGGTAGGCATGTTCCCAGCCTGGGCCGCGCCGTCATTGCCCAAGCCTGGTACGAGCGGTGCTCGGCCCCGCTCAGTCAACCGCTGCCTGTGCGGGGAGGGGCGCCACAGGACTGTCGAAGGGTACTGCGTCTGCACTTGCGTCTGAGCAGCGGCGCGTGCGGGATGGGCGAGGCGGCGCCGCTGGCAGGCGTGCATGCTGAGAGCCTGGAGGAAAGCGAGGCCCAGCTCGCGGGGCTCTGTGCCCTCCTGCCTGGCGTGGGCATGCCCCAGACTCTGGCCAGGCTGGGCGGCAGGGTGGCGGACTGGCTCGAGCGAGAGGTGGGCGTCCTGCCGCGCACGCTGCACCCCTCCGTGCGCTGCGCCCTGGAATTTGCGCTCCTGGGTGCCCTGGCGCAGGTGAGGCCAGGGAGAGGGTTCCTGGGTGGTTTATTGTGTTGGACGGAGAGCATGCTGTCCGAAGTAGACTCCTGCAGGTCCATACCATTACTTGTTTGATCTGTTCCCCACCTTATCAACCCCCTCACCAACCTCGCACCCATCATTTGGCAGGAGGGCCAGCAGACGCTGAGCCAGCTGCTGTGCGCGGAGTTGGCAGGCCCTCATCTCTCGGGACCCCTGCCCAACAACGCCCTGCTGGACTGCGGCGAGCAGACGGTGGCCAAGGCGGCAGAAGCTGCCAAAAAACTCGTGCTCCAGGGCTGGCGCGCCATCAAGATCAAAGTGGGACGCAGGGCCAACCCCGAGCTCGATGCGGCGGTGGTCTGTGGCGTGCGGTCTGCGGTCGGCAGCGAGGTCGTGCTACGTGCCGACGCCAATCGCGCCTGGTCGCTGCCGCAGGCGGTGCAGGTGGGTGGCTGTGTGGAGGATGTGGGGGTTCTGGGCGCTGCCCTCATGGCTGGAGGAATGCACTTTCTCATCCCAGGTCCCCCTCCTGCCTCCACGACCCGCAGTTTGGGAAGGCTGCCGCGCGGGCAAAGCTCCAATACATTGAGGAGCCCGTGCAGGACTGGCAGGACCTGGAGTCGTTCTGGAGAGCGACGGGGATTGCCACCGCACTGGACGAGTCTGTGACCCAGGAAGGTGTGAGAAGAGGTGTGATCTCGGTGTACTTGCTATGTGTGGAGATCATTCCAGTGTTGACATGGAATCACTCGAGGCCACAGCACAGGGTATACAAGGAGGTGCAGAGTGTCTGCAAGCCTGTTTGTAACTGGTCTGGCCCCCTGTCAACTTCTGACGCCCCGCCCCCCCCCACTCGTCAGGCATCCTTGACCCCCCGCCGGAGGGGACGGTGGCACTCGTGCTCAAGCCCGGGGTGATGGGTGGCCCGGAGGCGACCTTTGAGCTGGCCCGCACCGCCGCACGCCTCGGCCTCCAGGTCGCGCTTTCCTCGTGCATGGAGACGAGGGAGGGGCTGGCCCTCCTCCGCGAGCTGGCCCGGGCGGTGGATGTGCAGGTGTTCCCTGACATGTTGGGACTGCATGGTCTGGGCACCGACGGCTACGTGGGCGAGGCCGTCGCAGAGCCTGGAAGCCGACCAGGTGGGGATCTTCCTTCGTCTGCCAGGTCTCCAGAGGGCGATCGGCGACCGCGTGCGACAGGGTCAGACCTGCAGGGGTGCGCAGGCCTCGCCATCCACTGCCGGCGCGTCCTGCGGCATGGCTGCGAGTCAGAGGGCGGGGCAGCCGGTACCCTGGTCCTGCTGCACGGCTTCCTGGGGGCGGCTGAGGACTGGACCCCCGTGGCAGCCTCGCTGGGAACCAGGCGCACCGTGCTTGCCCCAGACCTGCCGGGGCACGGCAGTGCTGGCCTGCTCACGGGCATGGTGCCGCCGTCCCTGGAGCAGGCAGCAGCAGATGTGGCAGGGTGGTGCGCCACGCTGCAGCAGCCGGTGACGCTGGTCGGTTACTCCCTGGGGGCGCGCCTGGCCTTGACCCTGGCGCTGCGCCACCCGGGCGCCTGCTCCCGCCTGGTCCTTGTGTCTGGCTCCCCCGGCCTCGAAGGTGACGCGCTGGGGTGGGGGGCCTGTGGTTCTGGTCGGTCCAGGCCAGGAGCATGTGCATGGCGGATGGAAAGGGATGACCTGGTTGGAACTGCGCAACAGGCTGGCAAACCCTCTGCACGCTCAAAGACGCGACCGACCCCCGCAATGCCCGCGCAGATGCCCTGGCTCGCGCACAGCGTGCAAGCCAGGATGCTGCCCTGGCGACCACGATGAGGCAGGCACCCATTGAAGTGTTCCTGGAGCACTGGTACAGTCAGCCCATGTGGGGAACGCTGCGCCGGCACCCCAGGTGCTTGCTCCTTGGTTTGTTTGTGGCAGGGTAGCGAGCCAGGAAGGAATCGCACCTTTAATGACACCCGAAGCGGGCGATCAGGGTATGTCTGGCCATGCTTGTCTGCATGGGGCGGCAGACTCTCCCCCTCAACATTATTTTCACATCAGTGCCATCCCCCTTTGCCTACACAGGCAATCCGGTATAGTTGCAAGGCGGGCGTCCGCGCAGAGTGACCATGCAGCCCTCGCGGATGTGCTGGAGGCCTGGTCCCCCGGCCGGGCGTCCCACGCCTGGGATGAGCTGCCTGCCCTCTCGCGGCGCATGCCCATTCTCCTGATCACTGGAGAAGAGGACGAGAAGTTCGTGGGCCTACAGCAGGCCATGCTGCAGCGGTGCCAGCCCGCCGGAACGAGCGGCATCGGCGTGCAGGCTGCCACGATCCTGAGCGCTGGGCATGCTGTGCATCTCGAGCGCCCGCTTGAGCTGGCCGGCGCCATTGAGGCCTGGCTGAAGGGTCTGGAGTGCACCCAGCAAACCCTGAGACCGCTGGAGTGATGACAGGGTCTGCTATAACAGAGCATTACAACTAGATCTACAGTTGCAGTCTGCGCAGTCACACACCCCTGGCGATCCGCGACTGCCCCTTGCTACCAAGGCGGGGTAATGCGTTACAGGTCTTAATGAAAGTGAGGGTGTGATCGGCGGCAGAATCTGCTTGCCCAAAAGAATACTGGTATTGCCTTCTCAGGCTGCAAGAAAGAATGGATGCATGTGCAAGGCAACCAAGGGGGGAGATCAAGCGTGCGACTGCATGAGCAGGTCTGGTACAAAAATATGCCCTGCTTCCTGGATGACAGCGGGAAAACAGTAATGCACAATTCTCGTGATGAAATGAAAGCCTGAGCATGCAAAAAGTCTGGCTCAGGTACTGGGGCTCAGCATGGAGCCCTACTCTTCCTGGTGGTGACTGCAGCATTGTCTGTGCTGCTCTGCTATGTTCGGGCTGCATGCCTCACCCGCTCCCAAACAGGAAGCCTGGCAGGAAGCCGCCGCTGACCAGGCGGGACAGGGGGCTACGCCGCAGCCTGCCCAGTGCCAGCTCGAACTCGCCCGCCTCGTCCGCTCGGCTGGCGTAGCGGTAACCGAACCCGACCAGGGACAGGATCTCGTCGGGGCTGGCCAGCCGGATAAAGTCAAGGCGGTTGGTTGATAGCTGGTCATCCTTGAACTGGAGCGACGTGGTGGAGGGTGGGGAGGGTTTCAGTGATTCTTGGTGGCCAGAAAACAAAAAAGGGGACTGCACAGCGGAGTCCAGCACCTGCCTAGACCATGAAGAGACTCGATTGCGACAGCAGCCACCGCAGCCTGGGAGCCGGCCTGTCTCCAAACCTTAACCCAAGACGCACATAGTCAACCAGGACCGCTCGACCCTCCGCCTTCAGGTAGTCCGAGTTGTCGGCAAACACAAAGTCCCAGAGTGAGCCGTCGATGCACGGCTGGCCCTTGTAGTCATAGGATGGGGCGCCGTCCGTGAAGAAGGGGATGTGGGTGGATGCCACTGTGGGCAGGTGGGCGGGGGTGGAAGGAGGTTGGGCGCATGTATGCGGTGGGCGATCACATCCCCATATCTTGGCGCGGGCACCTTTGGGTGCAGCAGCAGCCCCATTGCTGCATCGAAGCCCTGGCCCTGGCGTCATAAACACCCCCATCGCCCATCCAGCAAGCCAGTCAGCCCACGTACGATTGGCCTGCACCAGGTCCTGCTTGGAGTCAAAGCGCTTGACGGTCGTGAGGCGGAAAGAGGGGACCTCGGTCACGACGATGTGCAGGCCGCGGCGGTGGGCGCGCTGTGCGGCGTCCTCCGGCAGCAGGTCGGCCAGCCAGTCACCCACGAGCTGCCCGGCCAGGCCCACCAGGCCCAGCTTGCGCTCCATGGCCTCCACGCGCCGGATGCGCACCGTGGCTGAGGCCAGCGCCTTCTCCAGGTCCACGTCGCAGGCCACCAGGGTGGAAAGCAGGGCGCCAGCGGAGGCGCCGCGCACCTGCACACCGCCCAGGTCGAATTGCTTCTGGAGGTAGAGGAGGACGCCCAGCTCCCCTGCAGTCAGAGGGGGATGAATCGTGTGCAAGTGTGTGTGTGTGTGTGTGTGGAGGTAGGCAATGAGGACCGAGGGGCCGAGGCGTGCGAAATTGGATCGCTAGTAAGCACCGATGTCCGGAACAGCAGCGATGGCCTCCAACAATGCACAAGGGAGCAGCCTGTTTCCTATATCCAGTGCCACCACAGTGCATGCAGATGCACCCTTTGCCCAGCCCCCGTGCTGGCTCACAGAAGAAGAAGATGCCGCCGCCGCAGCAGCTGATGATGGGGCAGTCAGGCTGGGGCCTGCCTGTGGTTTCCGGGTAGTGCTCGTCCTGCACGGACTGCGACTCCTTGGTGCCCTTCAGCTGTTGTATGAGGGACGCAAAAGGATACTTGACGGCATCCAGGCGCCAGGAGGTCTGCCCATGCCGCCTGGGCCCCTTGCACTGGCCGGGCGCGGTGCTGGTGCGTCCGTTCACCAATCGACATGAGGCCCTCGAAGCAGCGTGAGCATGCAGGACAGAGGTCATGCCGCCTGGGGGTAGAGTCCGGGTATGTAATGCTGAAGATGGCATGGGCGCACTACGGTCGGCGCATGTCTTCTGGAGGTGTCACTTGTCGCGCAGCTGCGTCACAGGACTCGATGACCCATGAGCTGCTCTGGAGGGAGAATGGGCTATCAGAAAGGGGTCTTTGAATCCTTGATGGGTCTTTATGCCAATGCTGCTGGGCCGGCAGATGCATCGAGGCGAATGGGCAGTATCTGGCTTCCTCCTGGTGCTACGACCCAGGTGCGTGGAAGCCTGACGCGCCATTGCGCTTCCGACGGTTGTTATGCATCCCTTTCAGGCAGGGATCCTGCTGGACAGGCAAGGTTACTTGACATACACACAACGGTGGCGCTGATGCATTGTAGAATCGCTACAGCGTACATCGTTACATTATGTGTCTTGTAGTCGAGTGTACCCTGGCCACAATGGCGGGAGGTGTGGAGCACAGTATATTTTGTTCGTCCCACGAGTACATCGTGCGATGGTCACATGCAAACCCCACGGCACCCAGGTGCCTGTTGGTTGAAATGCAGGCATGCAAGGGTCAGCACGCAGTCTGGTGGTGCGGCCATGGGTTCAAGGCAGGGCACGCACCGCCGTCAGGAGCAGGACAGCGAGGCCGCACCCCTGCACATCCAGCAGGCTCCTCGACGCCGCCACGCCTTCAAATGTCGAGCCTGGGTTGGGCAAAAAGGCGGATGCGAGGGAGCAGGAGAACACCGCCACACAGTGTGTTGGGGCCTCTGCCGGGCAGGGGCTCTGTTCCACCCTGTTTGGTACAGGGGTGATTGGAAAGGGATAGTGTTGACGAGCATCACAAGGCACAGGCTCCTGGAAGCTAGCTTGAATGGCACGACCCCGCATGTATGCACTCCCTGCCCTGCCTCGCAGGAGCTTCTGCTCACATCCCCGGATTCCAGATCCAACCGCTGCGGTCGCCCAGCCCAGCGCAGCCGAAGGGGCACGCCAGGTCAGACACTCTGGACGCACATGGGACCCCCATCACCTGCAGCGACACTTCCAGACGCCCGCCTCCACAGCGCATGCTTCCACCTGCAGCCTCCACAGCGCGGCGGCATCGCCATGTCCGTGCAGCAGCCGGTCCCCGGCCAGCGATGCGCGGCGCTGCGCCGCCGCCAGGCGGCCTGCCAGCGTGGCGGGCCCCTTCCCGACCGTCCTCGGCGCGGACTGGCTGAGGCTGGGGCCTCGCCCCGCCACCGGGGTCAGGGAGGCTATGAAGGAGCGCTCCAGGGAGACGGGCTGGTGCGGCGCCAGGCCGGAGGGGACTTCGGGGGGGGCAGGCCCCTGCCGTGCCCGGCCTGGGGTTGGACCCGGCCCTGCGGCGCCCAGCAGGCTGGAGAGGCCCGTCGCGGGCGTGGCGGCGCCCTCGCCACCGCGGATGGCAAAGCGCGCGGCCCTGCGCCCGCCGGTGGCCGGCGAGACGCTGGAGGGGGAGGTTTTGGCAGCCCCATTGCCGTACAGGGGGTGGGCCTTGACTGAGGTCCGCGCTTTCCTCCGCGACTTCCCAGCGGTGGTGGGCAGGCTGGCAGCCTGGAGCGAGAGCCGACTCCTGGCACTGGAGGGGGTCTGGTGCCAGGCTGGGGGTGGGGGCTGCCCGGGTGCCGCCGCCCTCAGCACGCCTGGCGTCCGAGGGAGGTCCTGTGCGGCTGGCTCCCCACTTGGAGCTGCAAGGAAGGGGATGGAAGGTGTGGGGCCGCTACCCAAACGTGCTGCAGGACTGAGGTGAAATGAAACTAGCATCTCAACCGAATCATTCATGACAAGCGACTGCCCCTCGGCTCCTCACCGGCTCCGCCATCTGCAGCACTCCCAGGTGCTGGGAGGGGGTTCTGGGTGAGCTGCTGGAGGATGGAGTCGACCTCTGCCTCCAGCTGCTTGGTTTTGTGAGTCGAGGGGGAGTGGCCCGCCTCGTGAGGGTCTTGGCTCCCATTCCAGGCGGCAGGCGCCTGCCAATGATGAAGGGGGGTGAGGAGTCGGGCAACTGAAGACGGGTACAGGCGTTCCTGGGACACTCACATGTGCTTGGGATTCTCAATGCCACTCGATACTTCCAATTCCACCTATAATGCACCCCCAGCATATGTACGATGCTCGGCGTTAAACCTGCGCACACCTGGAGTGGGCGAGACGACAGGCGGGGGGTCGATGTGTTCGGGCCTTCTCGGGATTTCTGAGTAGTCTCGTCGTACGTGATACAGAATTCATCATCCATGATAAGTGCTTAGTATCATGGCCAGCTGCATGACTTGTCCGGCAATGTGTCGGGTCGTCCTTGTTCTGTCTGAAGTGGTCACTGTATACGATGCCTGCCAAGACAACGATGGGCCATGCCTGAAAGCGGTCACCTACGACTCCTGCTCGAATGTTGTTCAGGGGCAGACTTCTCTGGGCTTGCAGCTCCGTCCGTGACAAAAGTGGGCGCACCTTGACAACCCCAGCTGTGCTGCGGTGGCGCAGCAGGGTGCCAAATGGGGCGATCCTGCCCCGTTAGCAGAGACCCCCCTGAAGATATCGCCGAGCTCAGCTGCATTACAGGGGTTGCCAGTCAATCAAGCATCTTCCATGTACAATGCGGCAAGTGTAATGCTGTTGCATGCATGTATCGCGCGGGCACCGTGGCCATGAAGTTCCCTCGTCGCTAGGTCTGCCGACGTCCGGGCAGGGTTGTCCGGAGTTTGCAGGGCTCTGCCCTGGGGCACATGCAGGGAGCAGCAAGCATCTTCTCCAAGCCTATGTGCTACACATATAATGTATCGGCGGAATGCCCAGCTCATTGGACTCGGAGTACGGTGCGTGCCCTCGCCCAGGCCGGGCCAGGGCCGGATGTTTCGCGGCCCTTCGTGCGCCCTTCCCCCGCATCTGGGGCCTGCCCTCGACGGCACAACCCCCGCTACAGTGTCGTGAACCGGTCGCTGGGGGGTGGTCTGGGCGGCAGGACGCCCAGGCCCCCCCTGGGTGGCAAGGGCTGGCGCGGCTCCAGGCAGCCCCTCCCTAGTCCCTCCTCCACGGGCCAGGGCGACGCGCCCGCCGCTCCGCCCGGGACCACGCGGGAGGACGTGGTCCTGCTTGACGTGGACGGCATGCACTGCGCCGGCTGCGTCTCCCGGGTCCGGAAGCTGCTGGAGGACCAGCCGGCGGTCCGCGGCGCCTCCGTCTCGCTGGCGACGGAGACGGCGCTCGCGCGCGTACGCCTCGCTACACCCAGCCACAGTTCCACCGGCAGCAAGGCTGACGAGCTTGAGAAGAGCGGGGGCGAAGCTCTGAATGGCGGCGGCGGCGCGCTGGAGGCCCTGGGCGCCAGCCTGGCACAGGTAGGGTTTTCGCTTGCCTGTGTGAGCGGGTTCATCGTGTTGCCTGGGCCCTGCGCTGCGAGGAATGCAGGAGGAGTGAGCTTTGGGGGCAATTGTTGGGATGGCCCTGGCGCTCTGCGGGTTCTGCGCTGGGTGCAAGGAGGGTCTGCCTCGTCCTGCGTCTATGACTGGCCAGGTGGACTGGCATCCTGCCTCAAAGCAAGCCGGTCCCCTGCCCTCCTTCCTGGGCCTATGCCCAGGCCCTCGCTGCCATGCACCATGTTCAAACAAAATGGTGTCCCCATCTGCCAGCTTCCTGCCCTCTGGCTCCTCTGTCACCAACCCCAACCCACCAACCCCATCATCAGATCCTGACGGCGGCGGGATACCGCGCGACGCCGCGCGAGGCGCGATCCCCCGGCGGCCGCGCGCCCCGGGGCGCCACGGCGCGCGCGCTGGAGTCGAAGCGCGCGGAGCGCGCGGCGCGCCTCGCCTCCAGCGGCTGGCGCCTCGCCTTTGCCGCGCTGCTGGCCTCGGGCTGCGCCTCGCACCACCTGGTGCATGCGCTGGGTGCCACGCGCGCGCCCGCGCTGCTCCGCGCGCTGGCCTCCCCCCCGTTTCCGCCGCGCTGGCGCTTGCGGCCGCGCTGGGCCCCGGGCGCGGGATACTGACGCGTGGCGCGCGCGCGCTGGGGCGCGGCTCGCCGGACATGGACAGCCTGGTGGCGCTGGGCGCGGGCGCGGCCTTCGCGGCCTCCGCCGCCGCCGCCGCCTGGCCGGCGCTGGGCTGGCGCGTGGCCTTCGAGGACCCGGCCATGCTCCTGGGCGTGGTGCTGGCGGGGCGCACCGCCGAGGAGCGCGCGCGCCTGCGTGCCGCCTCCGACATGCTGGCCCTCCAGGGCCTGCTTCCGGACAGCGCGCGCCTGCTGCTGGGCGACGGGTCGCTGCGGGACGTTCCCGCGCACGCTGTCGCGCGCGGCGACGCCGTGGTCGTTCTCCCGGGCGACGTCGTGCCCGTGGACGGCGTGGTGGCGGAGGGCCGCTCCGCCTGCGACGAGTCGTCGCTCACGGGCGAGGCCATGCCCGTGCCCAAGGCCAAGGGTGTGTTTGGAGGGTGTTTGGGGGGGACGAGGGGATGCGCATTCATGTGGGCGGCAGGCCGCTGGCAGGAATGCAGGCGGGGCCTGCGGGCGGCCTCCACGATGGGTCTGGGCGCGGCGGGGCTCCTCCGCGTCAACCCCCCATCCCGAGTCGCACCCCAACCAACCCCCTCCCATCCCCCCCCCCCCATCGAATTAATCCATCCCCTGGCCAGGCCAGCGCGTGTCGGCGGGCACGCTGAACAGTGAGGGGCGGCTGGTGGTGGTGGCCGAGGCGGCTGGGGAGGCAACCACGCTGGGCGCGCTGGGGTCGCTGATCGAGGCCGCGCAGTCGCGCGCCGCGCCCGTCCAGGGCCTGGCCGACGCCGTGGCGGGGCGCTTCTGCTACGGCGTCATGGCCGCCTCGGCCGCCACGCTGGCCTTCTGGGCGGGCCCCGGCGCGGCCCTGTTCCCGCGCGTCGTGGCCGCTCACGCGCCGGCCGGCGCCGCGCGGCCCGCCCTCCTCCTCGCCCTCCGCCTCGCCTGCAGCGTGCTGGTCGTGGCCTGCCCCTGCGCGCTGGGCCTGGCCGCGCCCACCGCCGTGCTGGTGGGGAGCTCTGCCGCCGCACGCCACGGCCTGCTCATCCGCGGCGGCGACATCCTGGAGGTGAGGGGGGGGGGGCGGGCTTGCTCGTTTCTGTTGCAGTGTGTGAGGGGGGAAGGGGAGATGTGTGGTGACGAGGGGGGATGCGACGATTACTTTAGCAGGTAGGATGCGGGTTGGATGGGGAGGTCCCTCGTGGCCTCTGCATGAGCCGGCCGGTGGTGTCCTCGCCCTCGCCCGCTCCGACTCGTGCGCCACGCACCGCAGCCCCGACGTGGGCCGCTCCGATTGGCCCGGGATGTGATGTGCTCGGTTCTGCCTCCCCAAGCTCAGCCCTGCGGCCCCCCCCCCACCCCTCTTACCCCTCCTGCCCACTCCACACACCCCCCCGACTCCCAATCCCCCGCCAGGCCGCGTCGCGGATCGACACGGTGGTGTTTGACAAGACGGGGACGCTGACGCGGGGCCGCCCCCGCCTGGTGGCCACGCGCCCCGCGCCGGGCGTGCCCCCTGCGCTGCTCCTCACCCTGGCCGCGGCGGTGGAGGCCGGGAGCAGCCACCCGCTGGCGCGCGCGGTGGTGGAGGCCGCGGGCGGCGGCGGCGGCCTGCCTGCCGCCTCGGGCCTGGTCCAGGAGCCGGGCGCGGGCGTGCGCGCGCACGTAGAGGGCCACGGCCTCGTGGCCGTGGGCAGCGCTCGCTGGGCGCTGGGCGACGAGGGGGAGAGCGGGGCAAAGGAGGGCGTCGGCGCCGCGCCCCGGGGCGTCCACGCCGGCGACCCGAGCATGCGTTCGTCGCACTCGCCGGCACCGCCATCACCTGACACAGGTTCTCACGCCGTGGTGCACGTGAGCTTGGAGGGCGGCGCGCTGGGCACGCTGGAGCTGGCGGACGAGGTGCGGCCCGAGGCGCGCGGCGCAGTGGCCGCGCTGCGCTCCCTCGGCCTGGCCGTGCTCATGGTGTCCGGGGACGGGGCCGGCCCCTGCGCGGCCGCCGCCGCGCGCCTGGGCATCGCCCCCGCCGACGTGCACGCGCGTGTGAGCCCTGCGGGCAAGGCCGAGCTGGTGGCGCGCCTGCGCGCCGGCGGCGCGCGCGTGGCCGTGGTGGGCGACGGCGTGAACGACGCTGCCGCGCTGGCCGCCGCCGACGTTGGCGTGGCCATGGCGGGCGGGGTGGGCGCTGCCGCCGACGTCGCCGGCGTCGTCCTGCTGGGGGACAGCCCCGCCCAGGTGGTGGATGTGGTGCGGGTGGGCCGTGCCACGCTGCGCAAGATCAGGCAGAACCTGGCCTGGGCCTTCGGCTACAACCTGGTGTGGGTTGTGTGTGTGTGTGTGTGTGGTGGGTGGGTTTGTGTGTCAGAAGAGAGTATATTGTGTTCTTTGGGGCGGGGGGGGCGGGGGGCCGGGCGGGGAACAAGGGGTTTCAGTCCCTGATGGAAGCTCGTCGTGGGGAGTGGTGGCCTTGGATGCCGGAGACAGGGCGCCCTGGGTTTCTGAACGCAATGGGATTCTTCATGGTGCCTTGGAGCCTTGCCATCCCATACAAGGCACTCGTCGCAGCGCACGTTGCTGCCGTCGCGAGGCCCGCAAGGGATTGGGCATGCTCCAAGCTGTTCCGACAGCCGTGTCTGGCAGCGTGCTGCAGATTGCGGCGCAGCTGCTCGCCATGCCCCCCACCCAGTCCTCCCAGTCCCAGATTTCTATACTCTCCATGTCCGATCCCACACCTGCAGATTGGCATCCCTCTGGCGGCGGGAGCCCTGCTGCCACTCACCGGGCTGGCCCTGACACCCTCCATCTCCAGCGCCTTCATGGGCATCAGCTCGCTAGCGGTGATGACTAATTCTCTGCTCCTCCAGCCAGAGGTGGAGCGCCTGGCGCGGCACGGCGCCCAAGATGCCGGCAGGGAGAGGACCGCTGTTCCCGATGCCAAGGAGCTGAGCGCCAGTCAGGCCTCGGCCTGATGCCCCGCCACAGCGCGTGGTGGGAAGGCGGAGGACTGGCCCCCTGGAGCTGCCAGGCTTGTTCCGCTTTGCCGGAGCAAGTGTGGAAGAGAAGGTCTTCCTGCTGGTGTCTCATCCTCTGATGAATTGCTACGCCGATTGTCTAATTACTATGAGGTCTTCATCGACTGCTGCGTACATCCGGGGGAAGAGACACCATGCTGTGGCGATTGAAAGGCATCTACAATCATGAAGAGAGCTCAAACCCTCCTTGGCAGCCACGTGCCATAGGCACGTCTCGGTGCCAGACCTGATTGAAGTGCTCGGCAAAAGCTATAGCGAACTCCTCACTATCCCTTCCTCGTCCGACATCCCCTGATCTATGCCGCATTCCCAACCTCCCTGGGAACCGTGGCAGAGCGCGTGGAGGGGTCCCAGATCGCACTGACAGCACTCAACACCGAAACCTAGCGGAGGACAATTCTCCATGCGTGAGGACGTCGCTGTACTTCGAAGTGTTCACATCCTTAATCTTATAAGTTGTTCCTGAATTACCCATTAAAGTCATGCTGAGGTGCCTCGCGTTCGCGTGGATTCTCCTCGGCACCCTCACCGATGCCAGGACGCTGATCGAGACCCTGCGGCCCGATGGAGGCCCTGTTGACCCCCAGCCCCACACCGTGCCCTACGACTGGTCCGACACCAGTAAGAGCGGCGTCATGCGAGGCACCATGGACATCGACGCCTCTGATCCCCGGCTCCAGCCTGCAGAGGAGGGATTCCCAGAGCAGATCAGCCTCATGTACTATGGATCCACATCCGTGAGGTTTGGGTGGGTCACAGGTAGGCTGCAAGATGGGAAGGGGGCAGAGGGCTGGGGAGGGATAGATTATGCAATGGGCATGCACTGAGATGCGGTGCTGTGTGCCGACATCACAGCAACACATGTCTGGGCTGGGTGTTGGTGTCTGCATTGCCGATATGGATAGCGTAAGGTTGGCACGCACAAGAACTTTTCCCCATCTCACTTTCAAATTTACAGGAACTTCAAGCCTCAGCACAGGAGCAGAGTCAAAAGAGTATCGGGCAAGCAGCGTTGTCAAGTATGGAAAGTCTAGCGGGAAGTATAGGCACAGAGCAATAGGTATGTCTGACTTCAGAAGATCGGCTTTTAATGTTCAGCAGCAACCTCTGTATTTCTTTAAAAGTTCAGATCAAAACCTTGTGGAACAATTCAAGCCATTTATTAATGTTGCTCAGCTCTCTGCACAGCATACCTGTGCACCCGTTGAAAAGTCATGTGTCACACACATTGCCAAATGCAGGTGTTGTCAAGCGATACACGCAGGCCTACAACTATGAGGGAGCGCAGAACTATACCAGCCCTCACATCCATTCGGCAATAGCCAATGGACTCGACCCTGGAACTCGGTACTACTACCGAGTTGGAGGCCTTGGGAGGAATCTCTGGAGCGAGGTAGTATGAGCTGCTGGGTTGAGAGCTTGGCAATGGCACATGCATTTGAATGCTTGTCTAACCATCAGGGCTGGTGTGCTCCATCGCCTAGCATGCATTGCCCAGTTCAACACATGTCTCCAGCTGCCTGTTCTCCTTCCCCGCACCCAGGAGTACTCATTTGAGACGCTGCCGGCAGGCAAAAGCTACCCACTCCGGCTTGGCCTCATTGCTGATACTGGGCAGACCTACAACTCTTCCACCACGTATGAGCGGCTGAAGGAGGATCGTCCCCAGGTACCTGGATGGGGCCAACTACAATGAACTCCTTGAACTTGTTGAGCAGATTATTTGTGCAGTAGGTGCTCACCCTGATGCTTACTTGGCTTTTCAGAGGCCATCTGCGTGCAGCGTCCATGAGCTCCGCCCAGGGGCTCCCAATATTGAGGGATCTCATTCCCTACACCACATCCCTCCCCTTGCCACCAAGGTAATCTTCCATATGGGTGACCTCTCCTACTCTGATGACTACCTCACCACTGGAACCCTGTTCCCCTGGGTCCTCAACGTCACGCCCCCTGTGTGGACCCCCCCCCAAACCTACCAGCCTCGCTGGTGAGTGGGCATCGATACTGGATTGGCGACGCCCGATGCCATGTGGTTTGGCACCTTCTCGTACCCTTTCCTGGATCAAATTGCTGCTGGGCATGCAGCGGAACATGCTTTGTCACCTGTACTGAGCGACCACCTGGCCCTGCAGGGACATGTGGGGAAGGCTGGTGACACCCCTCGTCTCACACGTGCCATTCCTGGCCACGCCCGGCAACCATGAGATAGAGGTTCAGACCGACGGCACAAAATTCGCATCGTACACGGTGAGCTGGGGAGCAGGACCGGTCATGACAGGCGGCATGCCGAGGGTGTTTGATGCATGCCGTCCGATGGTGGGGTTCACGGGGAGGAGGACCACTGCATTGTGTGGCGAACACGGTGCAGGATGCCGCTGCTTGCAAGCCCCCGGCCTGCATCCATCATGCGCCCATGCCAGTCTCGTGGCATGCCACTCCGATGGTGCAGACGCGCTTTCCAGCCAACAGCGAGGCAAGCGGCAGTGCGAGCCCCCTCTGGCACTCCCACGATGTCGGCCCGGTGCACGTGGTTTTCCTGACATCCTATGCGCCCTATGACGAGGGCACAGAGCAGGTGTGACGGGGGGAGGGACTGACCGGTCTGCAGCGCCGAATGTACGTGCAAGGTGTGATGGGGTCGCTTGGCACCAGTGCTTTCTTGGGCGACATGATGACTGCAGACCGTACGCCCGCACCCCGTAACTCAGCATGACTGGCTGAAGAGGGACCTGGCGTCGGTCGACAGGCAGAGGACACCGTGGCTCATTGCAGCATTCCATGCGCCATGGTGGGAAGGACGGTGGCCGTGGAGTTGGTCCTCATGCATGTTTTTGACAGGGGCTGTGGCGGCAGTAGTCTGCGAGTCATTTGCAGACTCTGGCTCGTGGTGCGATAACCCTGCTTCAAGCACCCTCCTCCTTTTCACCAGGTACACGTCATACGCCGCTCATTACTACGAGGCCAACTGCCACCGGCTCGCAACCGAGGTGTTGCTGTACTCGTATGGCGTCGACCTTGTGCTGAATGGTGAGGAGCAGGAGGTGTGGGCCGATCTGCATGGGGGGAAGAAACGCGTATCACATTGGACCTGGCATCGTGACATCGCACGATGGGAAGATGTACCGAGTCCCTCTCGGAGCGCCAGGGCGCGCAAGTCGCTGTTTGTATCGCGGTCGGTTGAAAGTCAGGGCAGGTTCAGCACGATAGTCCTCACATGGCTCACCCTGGGCTCCCAGGTCATGTGCATGCCTATGAGCGATCCTTCCCGGTCTTTGACTTCAAGGTGAGGGTGTCTGGTGGTGGGGCACCTTGCGTGCACCCCCGCATGGGCCCTGGGGAGTTTGCAGCGGGCCGTCCAGCAGGATGCATGGCCCAGCTGCCTGGCCGAAGACCATTCTCAGCAGTGAGGCACGCAGCAGTGGGGCATTCCATGCAGCACCCGTGTCCCCATCCCTCCCTTCTCCAGCCCCACCCATCCTCCCACACCGCCTCCCTGGCAATGCAGAGGGACGACTGCGGCCCTGTCCATCTGTCCCTGGGGGACGGCGGCAACATCGAAAAGTATGTGGCAGGGCTGGGGAGTGAGGAGGAAGGTGCTGACTCGACATGCCGCCGTTCATGCAGACGCATGCCGCTTGTTGCGATCATTCACACTTTCCTTGTTGGTCTGCTCAAACAACCCCCACTGCTCCGCCGTCAGCTCTTTCCCGCCCCACCCTCCAGGCTGAATGCTGTCTTTGCTGACACACCAGGTCATTGCCCCCCCATCTTCGATCATGGCCCCAGCTACCAGCCGGAATTTTGCCCCCAGAATGTCTACAATGGCAGCTACTGCTCCCTCATGCAGCCAGCCTGGTCGGCCTTCCGGTGAGGGGCCTTGCCATGTGTGCATGCCAGGAAATTGCGTGGCAGGGGTGAAAGGTCAATGGGCGGTGGACTGCTCGTGATGATCCTTTCCTGGTCAGCGCGGGCACCACTCTCCCCCGTCCCTCCCCACAGAGAGCCCTCGTTTGGGCATGCAACCCTGGACATCCTGAACGACACGCACGCCCTGTTTCAATGGAAGCGCAATGCCGACCCCCTGTCGGGTGCGGGCATGGAGGTTGAGGTTGCACCGAAAGCTGGCCTGATGGCGTGCTCGGTGCTGTTCTTCTGCGTGCCCCAGATCAGAACAGCTCACGTGCCTGGAAGCTGCACTCGTGCATGTTCAAGGTCCATAGCTGACTCCCAGCCCTTCAACCATTCCATGCAGTGGTGGCAGACGAGGTCGTCTTCAGGAGGCGTCCTGACAAGTGCGGCATGAGGCCGCGTGCTGGGTCGTCGGCGGACATCGGGTTGTCCCAGGCATTACCAGTCGGAGGAGGCGCCATTGCCCAGGCCTGAGTGCGTGGCGGATGTTCAAAGCAAAGCCATAGTTTACACGTGCATCACATCAAGTGTATAGATAGCCTGCCCAACGAATTGTTGTCCGAGAGAAGCTGTTTAGCTTCCAATGCCAAGAGATCCTGTGGAGATTCTTCCCCAATGATCACAAGTTTGATCCAACGAGCCGAGGCGCTCGGACGCTGGAAATCGAGGGTGCCGACGCAGTACAGTCTTAGCGTTCGGTGGGGATCACCTCCACATCACAGATCTCCAAGAGGTTAGACAGAATTGGTCGTCGAGTTGGAGCCTCCATGTTGTAAGGGCTGCGCCTTAACAGATAACCTTGTACAGCAGGAATATAGGATCCTCTCCACGAAGCTGACGCCCGTACATAGTTCCAAGAATCAAATCATTACCAAGGATGCCCTTACGGCACGCAGCCAAACTGAAGGTACAATATCGCGACTTAAAGCAACCCAGGCGGACGTTCCGAGTCTCGGAACGTGTTGTAATGTGGGAATCTAGCGGGCCATGATGGTGAAAGATGCCCGGGATCTTGATCATCCTGTTCGAATATTCTACCCCAGCGAAGCAGCGATGTGCAGGAATTGAGCCCTTCAAGAACCGTGTCTAGTCGGCTGAATCCTCCGAAGTGAAACTGGGTTCAAAATAAAAACCAATTGCATCTCTGAACTCCAGCACGATGGGTCGTGCTGGTATCATCGGCGTGGTGCTGTGTGCCATTGTGCTGCCCTTTGCGGCGGCCCGCTCCATGATCGAGCTGACCACGGTAGACGATGGCCCAGTCAGTCTGATCCCATCTACTGTTCAGTACAATTGGTCTGACACCTCGCCCAGCGGCATCGCGAGGGGGACTCCCGACATCCCCGCATCCGACCCTCGCCTGCAACCTGCCCCGGAGGGCTACCCGGAGCAGGTCAGCGTCACCTACTACGGCCCCACTTCTGTTCGTTTCGGCTGGGCTACAGGTGAGGGCGTCGCTGTGCCCAATTTCTGGGAAGGGTTTCGGCATCTGGCATAGTTTAGTATGGTGGGGTGCAGAGTCCCTGTCGAAGGGATGCGGCACTTGGCCGGAGCGGCCTGCGGAGTGCCCACCTCCACCTGATGCAGCCAACCATGGGGGTCGCACACAAACATGAATGGGTGTGGTACATGACCGCTCCAGCGATGCATCCACATGCCCTTTACACACAGGCCAAGCTCAGACCGGATACGGAGCCCTGGAGGGGTTCCATGACAGCACCGGGAGCAATGTGCAGCTGGGACTCTCGCCCAGCGCATACACGGACGTACTGGAAGGTGTGGAGCTGGTGTGTGCACGTGCACAGTGTGCAAAGCTTGTTCAGACATTGCAGTGGCGAGCAAGCTTCTGCCATTAGGCTCGACAGCCTCCAGGCGCTTTGTGTGTGCCCTAGAATCAAAATTCTCACCAGCCACTGAACCTGCCGCACAGTGTGCTCGTCATTGATTGCCATTCCCAATCTAAATGGGTATCCCATCCTCGCTGTCTTTGCAGGAACCTCATCCCACTACGACCAGATCTACTACGGCTTCTCCAACGCGCTCAACTATACGAGCCCCAAGCTGCACTCTGTGGTTGTCGAGGACCTCACCCCCAACACCAGCTACTTCTATCGTGTGGGGGATCTTAAGAGCCAGTACTGGAGCGAGGTATCTATGTGTTGCATGTGGAACCCTGGTCAGGATCAGTGAAAGGATCTGGCAGTTGATTGACCCATCCTATCGAGGCATCAAGGGGAAAGCTTCAAAACACATCACGCTCCACGCCTGGCATGCAGGAGTACAACTTCACCACCCCTCCAGCTGGGCCAAGCTACCCCCTCCGATTTGGTCTCGTTGCGGATGTGGGCCAGACCGACAACTCGTCCGACACCTTCAACCACCTGGCAGCCAGCGAGCCCCAGGTGCTGCGGTTTGTTCAGTGTTTCCTTGGGGTCAGCTCGCGGGATGGTACCAAAAACCATGTGCGCATGAGTGGGTATGCCGAATCTGGATACGCATATTCAAGAGCTGTATAAATTGGAAACATCATTACACTGACAGTGGTGATGAGGGTTGCCACGGCTCCCACATTCATGCCAGCCGGCAACTGGTCCCAGAGCCAACCCGAGGCCTAGGGCAAGTACTCACACCACGCTAGCTTCTTTACAGGTGGTCCTGTTCATTGGCGACTTGTCGTATGCTGACAACTATGAGGCCAACGGGACCTTGTACCCCTGGAACAATAACATTTCATATCCTGGAGAGGACATCTGGATTCCCTTCGATGTTGAGTACGGAACCTTCCAACCCCGTTGGTGAGCCACTGCAGTTGGAGTGTGTGAGTACTCATCCTGGAGATGGAGTGTACATTGCCAGAGCATGGAGTAGGACACGCCAATTCTTGCAATGGTCAGAGCCTCGTCTAGCTGGTTCTCTTTCGACAAAAGAATGCTTCCCATTCCCCACAGGGACAAGTGGGCTCGCCTGGCGGAGCCTGTGACCTCATCCGTTCCATTCTTGTTCACCGTTGGAAACCACGAAATGGAGCCCCAGAGCAATGGACGCAAGTTTGTCTCTTACAATGTGGGTGCCAAAGGGAATGCTGGATGACCTGGGGGGGTGATGGAAAAGGGGGGAATGCGAGACGCTGTGTCCTCGACGTGAGGGGGTTGATGTGCGTTTGACCCCCAAGGTTGGGAGTGTCTCACTCTCGTCGGCATGCCGTGCTGCACTGTGAGTATCAAGGAAAGATGTATCCTGATTTTCTCGACATTGTGGGCAGCTCCCCCTCAGAGCCTTGCCCTATCGCTGATGGCTGACCGGTGTATCATTCTTCAAAGACCCTCACAGCTCCTGTGTTCCACCCCCCCCACACACATGAGCAGGCCCGGTACCCATCCAACTACGAGGCCAGCGGCAGCTCCAATGCCCTCTGGTACTCTGTGAATGTCGGCCCGGCCCACATCGCCTTCATCACTTCCTATGCTGATTACGACCAGGATTCTGCTCAGGTGGGGCTGGCTTTCCGTGCACCAATCTCAAGGCTGGCCTCTGGCACTTTAACCTTTGCGTCGGATCCTGTTGCATCTCATTGCGGCATCCTGTGCAAGGGTGAGTGGAGCGCTCAGGTTCCTGGCTGAGACGATGTCACACTGTTCCCATTCACCGGAGCACCTGCAGTACAAGTGGCTGGCTGCTGATCTGGCAAATGTCAACAGGACGGAGACGCCCTGGCTCATCGTTGGCTTCCATGCCCCTTGGTGCGCGCGAGTCGTGTGTGTGAGCGGGAGTGCCTGCGCTCGAATGCCTCGTATCACTGGGGGCAGGAAGGCGACCAGAATGCCGAGCCCCGCGGGTCCCAGCCGCCCCTAGCCACTACCCCTGTGCATCGAGGATCCCGTTTCCCAACCATGCAGGTACACATCTTACCGGTCCCACTACCAGGAGGCCAACTGCCAGAGGCTTGCAATGGAGCCGCTGCTCTTTGAGAATGGCGTCGACCTTGTCCTGAACGGTGAGAGCAAGGTGTCTTGAAAGGAGCAAAGGGGCTGCGTGGTATCTGCGAGGCGGCTCCTCACCGTGCCCTGTCTTGCCGAGACATCCCCTCACCCAGCTCCTCGCCCAACGCCCACCCTCTTCTACCCTCAGGTCATGTGCATGCCTACGAGCGCACCTTCCCCGTCTACAACTACACCGTGAGTGGCAGGGCGGTGGGGCCTGAGCACTAGATCCAAATCTTCTGACGGATCTTTGCGCGCAAGAGTCGCAAGGAGTTATCTGGTCACGACTCACTGCCTTTCTTCTCTATTGCAACACAGCTGAATGACTGTGGGCCCGTGCACCTCACTCTGGGTGACGGCGGCAACATTGAGAAGTGAGTGTGCCTCTGTTGGCTGCCCGTTACCATTCCCAGCTCACCCTGTTCACTGCTTGCAGTAAATAATCGATGGGTGGGGATAGGAACTGACCTCATCATCCTGTCATTACCTGCCATGGATGTGTGGTGCAAGTGCGACAAGCCTGATCACTGAAACGCGCCCCCCTTCACGTTCCTTTGGTGCTCAGGCTCGCAGCGGTGTTTGCTGACTACCCAGGCTACTGCCCCGCAGTGCCTGTGCATGGGCCCTCATACCAGCCAGAGGTCTGCAACCAGCTGCTCTACGATGGCGAGTTCTGCTCCACCTCCCAGCCCGAGTGGTCTGCCTTCCGGGAGCCGTCCTTTGGGCACTCCGTCCTTGACATCCTGAACGACACGCATGCGCACTTTGCCTGGTACCGCAACCAGGACGCCGATACATGTGAGCTGACTTGGGTGGGGGTGAGGTGGGGAGCTGTGGTCGAGAGATGGGCCACCCCTGGTCTGGATGGCTGACCCTTGCACATCGCCACGAGCGGTGAACCCTCACCTCTGAGCATGACCGCGGATGATGGACTTTGAGATGTTTTGGTGGGCAATAGGGTATGAAATTCGGGGGCTCCTGCTGGGTCTTGGGGTGTTTACCCCAGGGTTTCCTGCAGGGTGGAGGCGTATTGACCGAAGGTTCCTCTCTCAGTACCGGACCTCCTGCGACCAAGTCCTTTCGTACATGCTACCCTACTACAGCCGTCGCTGATGAGGTCATTCTGGTCCGCAACCCAGAGGAGTGCGGGATCCCGCTGGAGGGTCTCAACAGCCAGGCCTATTGACAGGCTGCATCTAGTGAGGAGGCCCCACCCGCCTCCCGCCCGGAAGACCAACTTCTGAAGAATCAAGGAATGACCTGCACGTGACTGATGTGCTATCAAGCTCCAGTGCTGCAACTTCCTAGGGTCCCATCTTGCCAGCCTACCTCATTCGAAATGCAGTCTGGTGTGCTGCACCCCTTCCCCGCCCCTTACCTTGATAGTACCCCCATTGCTGAACGGTTTGATGCATAGACAGTTGCATTCTGAAATGCTTCCACCAGAACACATGCTCTTGACCTTTTCCATGTGTCAGACTTTTGCAATCTGGGAGGTGCAGCATCAGTAGACGAGGGGGTCACCGGGCGGCATGATCAGTGCTCCTTCCCATGCAATGCGTGTCAGTGGTAGGAAGATTGCCCTCGGATCATGCCTATCACGTGGGAAAGACCGTGTTCAGTTCAGTGATAGAGAAAGGTGCTGGGGAGCTTGCTTTGTTCTGAAGAAATGTTGACATTGCACGGAGGACAAAGCTGCACCGAGAAATTGTGCGACGGACGGCCGCAGATCGTGTCGACGAGCCAAACAGCAGCCAAGAAAGTGCTCGCGGCGCGCAGACAGACCGGCAGGGCAAAAGTGCTCACAAACATGGTACCAATCAGAACCCGATGGGGAACGTAGACGTTTGGGACGTGGCTTTGAGTGGGTTCAAAGATATACCGGAGGAAGGTCAACCTACTCAAGAAAAACCCGGATGTTACCCCTTTCGAGCATATTCCCCGGCGAAATGTGAGCTGGCACCGGATTCCTACGACGTAGATCCTTCATGAACCGTACCTTGTCATTTCGGTGCTTCAGTCCATGTTTAGGTTTAAAACGCCAACAAACACACAATAAAAGTTCAGCACGATGAGTGGCGCTGGCAAGGCCAGCGCGCTCTTGTGCGCCTTTGTGCTCTTGCCCTTCGCGGCGGCCCGCACCATGATCGAGCTGACCACGGTGGACGGTGGCCCAGTCAGCATGATTCCAGAGACTGTTCAGTACAACTGGTCGGACACCTCGCCCAGCGGCATCCTGAGGGGGAGTCCCGACCTCCCCGCCTCCGACCCCCGCCTGCAGCCTGCCCTGCAGGGGTACCCGGAACAAGTCAGTGTCACCTACTATGGACCCACCTCTGTTCGTTTCGGCTGGGTTACAGGTGAGGGCGCCGCTGTGTACAGCATCGGGGATTGCATCTGCATGGAGCAAGCTCGCGGAAGCGGATTGCGGAGTCCGGCTGAAGAATCGCCGCGCTCAACCGGAGCGACCCCTGCGGAGTGCCCACCTCCAGCTGATGGGTGGGGCGGCCATGGGCGTCGTTCTCCGAGGGTGAGGGTCTAGCTTAGGACTGATTTTACTAGTCTAGAGCACAATCTCAACGCGCAGGCCAATCCCAGACCGGCTACGGATTCCTGGAGGGGTATCCTGACAGCAGCACGAGCAATGTGCAGCTGGGACTTGCGCCCAGCGCATACACTGTCGTCCTGGGAGGTGGGAAGCGATGGATGCACGCGCACTATTACTGGACCTTTTTCACGTTACGATGGCATAGAACGCTCTCCTGCAGTGATTTGGGGGGCAACGGAGGCTCAAGCCTTGCGCCTGACCCAAGATGAGGGCGCACACTCATCCCTTGTCCAATACAACGGTCTGCTTCAGTCAGTCTGTCCCCCATACATGATGGCGGCCTCCTCGGCACTACCCGTGCAGGAACCTCAACCCGCTACGACTACATCCACTATGGCTTCAAGGGGGCTATGAACTATACAAGCCCCAAGCTGCACTCGGTAGTCGCCGAGGACCTCCGCCCCAACACCACCTACTTCTATCGTGTGGGAGATCTGAAGACCCAGTACTGGAGCAAGGTATTGTTCTCTGCAAGCGCGCCCCTTTTCAAGATGTGCAAAGAGAGCCAAATTTTTGATTGGCACACCCTATCCAGGCGATGGAATGGAGAGCACCTCCCAACACACCCCTGGCTCCACGCCTGGCTTGCAGGAGTTCAGCTTCACCACCCCTCCTGCCGGCCCAAGCTACCCCCTGCGCATGGGCCTCATTGGGGATGTGGGCCAGACCTACAACTCTTCCGACACCTTCCACCACCTCGCAGCCAGCAAGCCCCAGGTGCTGCACGTTTGATTTGGCGGGGTCACCAGGATCACGCTCCTGGGTTTGGATCGACTTCCCTGCGCACACGAGTCCTCATAAACCCATCAAGACTCTAAATTTCATGCGCTTTGTTGATCAAACATGCGATTGCAATGCCAATGGTGACGAGGGATCACCTAGCTTCTGCATTGCTGCCAGCCTCTCACTTGTTTGAGGTTCGCCCAAATGCATTGGACATGGGCTGAAGCTACTTATCCCCCCTCGTAGGTGGCCCTGATCATGGGCGATCTGACCTATGCCGACAACTACGAGTCCAATGGGACGCTGTACCCCTCGAACTTCAATATCTCATACCCTGGAGAAAACGTCTGGGTTCCCTTTTATGTTGATCATGGGACCTTCCAGCCACGCTGGTGAGTTGGTTGGGTGCAGATCTTGTGAAGAATCATCCTGGTATCTAGTGGGTGGTGCAAAGCGTGGAGCGAGGGACCTCCCTCTCCAGGAGCCCCTCAGCCTTCCTTTACTGATACCCTGTGGACAATATGCGCCGCCCAATCTCTGAAGGGACACATGGGGACGCCTGGCAGAGCCTGTGACCTCATCCGTCCCATTCTTGTTCACCGTTGGAAATCACGAAATGGAGCCCCAGAGCGATGGTCGCAAGTTTGTGTCGTACAGGGTGGGTGCAGGGGGGGCGGTGGATGTAACTGGGTTTGACGCAGCTTCTGTGTGTGGGTGGTGGGCTTAAGTACGAGGCAGACTCGAGGAGTGGCAGGTTGCTTTCACAGCCACAGGCTGAGCATCAATTTCAGGCAACACACGGAGCATTTACCCTGACCCAGTGGTTCGTGTCAGCCCTCTTATTGGAGCCATGCCCCACGGCTGATGTCTACCTCGGGGTTTTTGCCTTTGGGGGCTCCGGTTCATCCCTTCCACATCCCATGAGCAGGCCCGTTACCCGCCCAACCATGAGGCCAGCGGCAGCGACGACAAACTCTGGTATTCTGTGAATGTCGGCCCTGCCCACATTGCCTTCATCACTTCCTATGCTGACTACGACCGGGAATCCCCTCAAGTGGGTCCAGACTCTCTTTGCCAGCTTCAGGACTGGCCTCAGAGACTGAGTTTCTCATGCACGTTTTCATCATCTCTCTCCGCATCCATGATGAGGCTGAGCTTTCTCAAACTCTGGGTGGGCAAAATGCCACACCCTATCATTCTCCTCCTCGGTTGCAGTACCAATGGCTGGCTGCTGATCTGGCAAGCGTCAACAGGACGGAGACGCCCTGGCTCATCGTGACTTTCCATGCCCCCTGGTATGACCGTGTCTTGCATGTGGGCAGGAGTGCCACTAGTCGAGTGCCAGGCCATGGCATGCAACCGGCACCCAGAGCAGGGAGGATTAGTGCAGGATCTTCAGCCTCAGAGTTTGCCGTTTGCCAGCTGCCATGTGCTCTTGACCGCGGTTTCCATTCATGACGCAGGTACACGTCCTACTCAGCCCACTGGCAGGAGGCCAACTGCCAGAGGCTGGCGATGGAGCCGCTGCTCTACGAGAATGGCGTCGACCTCGTGTTCAACGGTGAGGGATGGATCTCCCTCCTGCCCAGGCAGATTGGGTAGCGTCGTGGTCTGTGTGCTAGGTGTCAAAGGTGTGCACCCAAGCTGGAACCTGGCTGAGACCAACCTGGTGATGGATTGCTCGCCCCACTCCCCACTCAGGTCACGTGCATGCCTACGAGCGCACCTTCCCCGTCTACAACAACACCGTGAGTGGCAGGATGCTTGGGGGGCTGTGCGTCAGATTTGAGTTCCCAACTCGCACCAAGGGCGACCGGACCACAGGGACCTCCCGGCTCAACCCCCACCTCCTCCTGTCCTCTCGCAACACAGCTGGACGAGTGTGGCCCCGTGCATCTCACCCTGGGGGACGGCGGCAACATCGAAGAGTGAGTGTGCTTGGATTTGCTGACCGTCGCCATTCCCAGCTCGGTCTGTGCACCGCTTGCGGCAAATCTGTGCTGGGGATGGGGCTGTGATCAGAGCCACAGGTTGGGAGGAGCCCGCAGCATCGTGGCAATGGATTCTCCCGATCTGCAAGCTCAAACCCCCTCCTCCCCCTCCTTCCCGCTGCGCTCAGCCTCGCAGCAACCTTTGTCGACTACCCGGGCTACTGCCCCTCCGTGCCCCAGCGCGGACCCACCTACCAGCCTGACGTCTGCAACCAGCTGCTCTACGACGGCGAGTATTGCCCCACCTCCCAGCCTGAGTGGTCCGCCTTCAGGGAGCCGTCCTTTGGGCACTCCATGCTCGAGTTCCTGGATGACACGCACGCCCGCTTTGCCTGGTACCGCAACCAGGACGCCGATACATGTGAGCTGACTTGGGTGGAGGGTTGGAGGGGTGAGAGGGCTGGGTTGTAGTCTCGGGGTTCCCTGGTATGGACGGCTGCCCTTGCCCACCTTGCCACGACCCGCGAAGTCCCACCTCTGTGCATGGCTGCTGAACTTTGCTCGCCCCAGACGTCCTGCTGGGGTGGAGGGGATTCGGCCAAAGCTTTCCCACTGCCATGTATGGCAATCAGGATTCACATTCCGCAATTGAGCCACCCCTCACTCGGTCCCTTGCTGCAGCCGTTGCTGATGAGGTCATCCTGGTCCGCAACCCAGAGAACTGCGGAATCCCGGTCGAGGGCCTCAACAACAAGGCCGACTGACATGCTGGATCCAGGGAGGAGGCGGCACACGCCTGCCTGCACTGAAAACCAACATCAGTAGAATAAAGGGGTGACCTGCAAATGACCGGAGTGCCACAGGCCTTTCCCCCACTGACAAGGTATTGCTTGCCAGTCCCCGGCTCACCTGACCCCTAGTCTGTGATGCTGGAAAACCATCCATCCTTGGCCAAAACTTCCTTCCAGCTGCGGGTGGTTCGTCACCGACACCTCAGCACCCAGCACTGCTCCTGACCCCCACCATCCTTACCCCTTTTGAGTGTCAGACTTTTGCAAGTTGAGGGGTGCAGCAGGAGGGTGCCAAGGCTCGCAGCAGGGTTGTGGGCCTTCCCCTCAGGAATCAAGAACGTTGGTGGTGCGTTGATACGATGGCAACAAACCGCGCACCACGATAAGGCAGCGCCGCATGGGGACGAAGAGGGATCCCCGGGTGCCCATCCCGGCAGAGGTACAGATGCTCGATGAAGCACATGAGCACCCAGCCTGGCCACAGAGGGGCCCATCCGAGGACTGAGCCCCTGGAATGATCGTCGCGCTGCGCTTCATACCCACCGCGACGAGCTGGGCCAGAGCCCCTTCCACACAGGCACATCCCCGCCGCCCCTCACCGTGGCGGCACGCCAAACACGTGTTGCCAGGTCGACGGCGTCCGCAGGTCCCGTGCTGCCAGCCCCAGCGCCTCAGCCGCCGCCCCCGCCAGCTCCACGGCATCGGCGGCGTTGTTGCCCTCGGCAGCAAAGCGCAGCAGGGCGGCGACGGGGAGGCCCAGGTCGGCGCAGGCGGCCGCGAGTGGCCAGGGCGGCAGGCTCCACTCCCGCAGCGCCTGCTCCTCCCACCACGACTCCTCCAGCGGGGGCACCGCGCCCGCGTGCAGCGCCCCAGACAGCACGCCCTCGCCCGCCTGCCAGTACCGCAGCTGCTGCGCGCCGTCCAGCTGCTCGCCGCGGCGGAGCGTGGCATCCAGGCCCCCCAGCAGCAGTACCTGAGGCGGGGGAGGGAAAGAGTGGGTGCAGGGCCGCAGCGGATGGGCAGAGAGCCACTCGCCTGAGCTCTCATGCCTGGTTCAATGCATTGAAGGGAAGCACCAGAAGGGATTGCAGGCCTGCAGCGGATGCAGGGAGCACGGCTGTAAGGCACACGACAGCTGCTCCCAAATCCCAACCTGTGCGCCATTGTCCCACCTGTGCCACCCCCTGCTCCTGAGCCCAGGACGCGATGCTCTGTGCAAAGTGCGACTGACACCCGGCAGCCACCGGCGCCCTTTGCTGGAGGAGGACCAGGTCGCCTGACCTGTACACCTCCATGGCCAGGGCGGGACCAGCGTCCTTCACGTGATCGAAGGACTTGGATCCGGCACAGGGCAGCAAGGCAGTATGATGTAGATTGCCGATTTTGTCTGCCTGCTGGGTCTCGATCAGCACGTCTAGGGCGAGTTGGCCCAGGCTGGCGACGGTCACGGCCGGGATCACCAGCGTCGAACCCACGATGGAGACATCGTGGGAGTGACTCCAAAACTCCATCGCCGCTACGATTCACATGGATGTATATAAAGAATCTGGTAGGGGAATTGCATTGCAGGGAATGATGGGGATACACTTGCATGCAACCCCTCGCACCCCCTGCTGGGCGCAAAGTTTGATTCCCCACTTTCTCAAATCGAACCATACGAAAATCCCCATTTTGAACTGCTGGGGCAAATAATCTGCAAGTCGCGCCAAAACTTCCCCTCGCGAAGTCCAGCTTTGGACCTCGGATGCTGCAGGGCCGGGAAGTGGTTTGTGTGTCCAGCAACGCCGGACGTGACCTATTCTATCAGAGCGCCGGCCTCTTCCAACGTCCATGACCGAGCCCAAGCCGAAGTCGGGCTTTCGGAAGCTGAAGAAAACGGTGCGCGGCGGTGGCGAAAACTTGCAATCTCTACATGGAAGGACTGTTAATGTTTTCCCACCGTCTCACCTGGCTTCGCTGCCCTCTTCGCAGATGTCCCGGGCCTTCAGCCTGTCGCGCACGAGCAGCACGAGCGGGACCGGCTCGGTCGGAGCGAGTGCGCGGGACGGCCCTCTGACAGGACGCGCCGAGTCCATGCACAGCGCGGTGGAAACGGCCAGTCTGTTGGGGGACACGGATTGCGGTGAGAGCCACGAGCCTGTCGACCCGCCATCTACCCTCACGCTCATGCGGACGGATACTCAGGATTCGGGGGTGGTGGGGTCCGCTGCCGGACCTCTGCAACCTCAACAGCTCAAGGAGCTGGACAGGCTGCGCCAAGAGAACGCGCGTCTCCAGGTATATGGATGTGTCATGGCTGTCTCTCTCAGGCATTCTGTAACTCCATCAGTGTCCATTCACTCTTGTCCACCTGACGCACGCCTCATCGTCTCTTGAGCCCACCACCGCCGCTTCCCCCACTTGCCTGACACCCACACCCTGCGCCGCCCTTTCCTCGGCGCGCAGGACACGCTGTCGGCGGCCAAGGCCGCCATTGCCGAGCTGGAAGGCAGCACGGAGGCGCTGCAGTCCCGCGCCGCGGTGGGACAGGAGCTGAACTCCGCCACCAACCGCGTGCTGGTGGACCTGACGGAGCAGACCGAGGCACTGCGCCTGGAGCGCGCACGGCTGGAGGCGGAGCTGGCCGCGCGGCAGGCGGAGGTCGAGGCCCTGGCCGCCTCCTCGGCCGCAGTGTCGGCGGGCGAGCTATCGCTGCAAGAGGAGGCCAACGAGGAGGCCTTCCGCAGCCAGGAGCAGCTGGCGGCCCTGCGCGCGGAGCTTGACTTTGCCGCCGCGCGCGAGGGCGCGCTGCGGGCCGACGTCGCCATCGCGCGCGCCGAGCTGGAGCGCGCGGCCAAAACGAGGGACGAGGCCCTGGCCGCCGCGGGGCGGGGGGGCGCGGAGGCGGAGCAGCGGCTGGTTGAGGCCCAGCGCAGCCTGGTGAGGTGACGGCGGGGTGACTGAGTGGGGTTTCCTTTTGGTCGGGAGGGGTCGCGTCATGGTTCTGTTTTTATTGGAGGGTGAGGACAGAAGGGGCTCGATCCTGATGCTGTCTTGCGAGACACCGGAGTCGACCGGGCCCACCACCAAATCCACACAACACAACACGCACTCACCCATGCATGGACTCCCTGTCACCAGGCTGCGGCGGAGGCAGAGTGCGAGACGCTGCGCGCCGCGCTGCAGGCGGCCCGCGACGAGCAGGCCGTGACGCTGGCGGCGCTGCAGGCCAGGGACGCGGAGCTGGAGGCCCTACTGGCGAGCGAGGGGGAGGCCAAGGCTGAGGCTATGAAGGCGGCCTTCGACCTGGAGGCGGCCGTGACGTGCGCTGGGGGTCCGGGAGGGGAACCAGGATACTCGATGGGCAGCAGCAGGATGCAGCGATGCCGGTACCACAAACTGGCGGCATTGTGTGAGTGCAGTGCTCTGGCAGGAATCCCTGTCCTGTGTGCAGGCGGCCCTGCCAAACTGCACACAGGTATCTTACACCCTCCCTGCACCTCCCAGCTCACCCCTCCCCACCACCGCCCCCCAAACCGCCCCTCCAAACTCTCGCAGCGAGTCGGCCGCCGAGCTGGACCGCCTGCGTGCGGCCCTGGCCGAGACGGAGTCCCGGCTGGCCGAGGCGGGCGCCGAGCTGGCGGAGGAGCGGCGGCACGCGGCGGCGGCGGCCGCCGCGGCCGCCGCCGCGGAGCGCAGGCTGCAGTCCGAGCTGGAGGAGGCGGTGCGGGAGGCGGAGGCGGCGTTGGAGGAGCTGCAGGCAGAGGCCGGGGGCGAGCTGGAGGCGCTGCAGGCCAAGCTGGAGGCGGCGGAGGACACGGCCAGCAAGCTGCTGCGCCAGCTGGCGGCCACGACGGCCTCACGCGACAGCGCGGCCGCCGCCGCCTCCCGCGCCAGCG